AGGGGACTACCCTGAGGAACTCCAAAACCAGTATTTTTCTAGTTTAAAACTAGTTATGTCACCAGATTTAAAATCGTTGATAACGGCAATTAATTCAATAATAGTTTCAGCTGTCTATCTCAGATACTTTACAATTAAGCTTCATTAGAATAAGCACAGTCAAAAGCTTCAGCAAAATCACTGATCAATGTCGCACTACAGCAATAAAAGTAAACATTTTTTGAATTGAAAATTATGAGCAACGTAGAGAATAAAGCATTAAAAATCAGTTACATTGAAGATAATAAAATTAATTTCACATTAAATACAGTATCACGTATATACAGTACTTCCTACCAACACAATAGTAGCTGTGTACTTCAAAACATACAATTACATCGCACACCAACTATACGGTGATATTATCGCGAAATAACATAACATAATGATACGGATTTCGATCAATCCCTAGTATGAATTTAACTGTTATATGAATTGAAATCGCGAAGGACAGAAATTTTGGATATATAACATAGTGTTTTCGTTACAAATACAATATAACGTATCTTAATAAAGATATAATGGGTAATAATGATGAAAATTACGATAATTTTTAAGCGCACCCTAGACTAATCACATATTCGCACGCGAACAGTGTAATTGTCCAATACCACAAAGGCGTTCAACAAAAAACGACAACAATGCCTGCGCAGGATTCGCGTCACGTTTCTCCTCATTATGTCACAAAGATGCGCGCGCGCAAGCCCTGCGAATTCCGCATTCAAATTTATATCACGCATCCATTTTTATGTATGAGATAGATATTTATTTCCTTGAACGTGAACTGATAAAGTTTTTGTTAAAATTATTTCAGGACAATGATGTCAGTTGATGATATAAATACAGATGAATGGGCTCCAACACTTAGTTTTGAGTTACTATCACATTATAGTCTAACTGGGAGCACTATTGCACTACCCTTAGCTCGCGGCCTCGTTAACATTGTACAACACACACTTTGTGTGATCCACAAATTGTTGTTTCGGGTCTGGGTGTCATTGTGTATGTGAACTTGTATGTTTGTAAACGCACCCACGACACAGAAGAAAATCCTAATGTGGGGGGGATCCCAACGTTTTGTTACAAGAACAAGAAGAAGAACATTGCATTTTATTTCGTCCTCCTCCTTTTGTCGTTTGACTCTTTAAAATGAGTTTTTACAAAACAGCCACATTTATAGATATTAACTTACAATGATGGATAACGAGCTATATATCCTTACTAATATTATAAATCTGAAAGTGAGTTTGTTTGTTTGTTTGTTTGTTCCACCTTCACGCCGTAAGTACTCAACCGATTGCTTTGAATTTTTGCAGACGTAAAGTTAGAAGTCCGGATTAAATAATAGGGTACTTTTTAACCCGGAATAAATTGATATTCCCGAGGAAAAACAAAAGTATTGGTATAGATGGCGCTGTGTGTATTGGTATATATGTCACATGGGCTACTTTTTGTTTTTTTGTGACGCGAGCGAAGCCGCGGGTAAAAGCTAGTAAGTTATAAGGCAAAATATATAGAAGCACGCATGTTTCAAGGTAAGCAAAAAAAATTACATGTTAATTCTTTTTATTATTCACTTAGATACAGTATTATTTAAATACGTAAATTATGTGTATTCGTTTGTTAATTTTCACCCGTATTTGTGTTACTCCGCAACAGATAAAAAAGACATAAAAATTATGATCACACTAATTATATTATAGTGTTACATAGTGGGTATCGTCAATCCAGTGTCACAGGTTATTGGGAGGTGTTAGAACCACGTATTGTCAAATCCGCGTTTAAAATGGGAAAAAATATGTTAGCCTTGCGTTTCTTGTCGTCCATTGAAACATCATCAGGAACGTAGTTCATAAAACAATTATCTATCAATCAAGCCCTTGCGTTTTATCCTTACTAATATTATAAATGGGAAAGTGAGTTTGTTTGTTTGTTTGTTCCACTATCACGCCGTAACTACTAAACCGATTGCTTTGAATTTTTGCAGACGTTTAACCTTTTTAAATTTGATATTCCCGAGGGAAAACAAAAGTATGGGTATAGATGGCGCTGTGTGTATTGGTATATGTCACATAGACTACTTTTTATCCTTTTGTAACGCGAGCGAAGCCGCGGGTAACAGCTAGTATTCATATAAATTAGGTTATAGGTATATCTTATGACCATAAAAATTAGGAGTGTGTACCAAATATCAGATCGATCTGACGTCAACAAGAGGTACAATTTCAATTACTGTAAAATAAATAAAACCATTTAAGAGGCTATGATTACTATACGTTACTATCTTTGTAGGAGGTTAACGGCTATAATTAAGTTACATACTTATGTCCTTAATTTACATTTAGAACTTTAAGGACAACTTCATTAAATAGTTTATGCGACGTCGAGGTCTGCCAGATTCAAGCAGTAAAGGTCTAGTTCTTGGTGGTCCATGGCTTCAATTTAGAGGTTCCAGATATTATATACCTACAACACGTTCTGAAGAAAAGGTAATCAGAGGTAAATAGTTTTAATCAACTACTAAAGAAAATATTTTGATATCAAAGTATTTTCTTTTTCTTTGGCTTCATAGAAAAAGGATCAAAATTTCATTTTGAGTAGCTACAGACAGATAAGTTATGGGGAATAGGAGATTTCATTGCAGAAAGCTTGTGTCCACCTCTTCCTGACCCCTGGCCTTGTAGCATCAATTGGAATGTAATATCTGTTAATACACGCGCTTGTTCCTTAACAATTTTGTTACAATTTGCACAAACTTGATCTGCTAACTTGTCTTAGCGTAAAATAGTATTCAGACCAGTATTTAGATCCAAATACAAGCTAGCATTTCGGAGTCAATGTAAAATTTAAAACCTGTTTAATCACACGTTACTTGATCAAGAAATTTTAGCAATATTAGTACAGTTTATTGTGATTTTGTATTAGCTAGGTACCTTTCAAATAGTAAAAATCTTACAATCGTTCCTATTTACTCTTTTTCTTGGATAGTTTGCGACTAAGACAATGAGTTGATGATGTTGGACTTCTTAAATGGTATTTAGGGGACAAAACCGTCGCCACCCGACTAGAACCAGACCTGGGCGTACGGCGCGTCGATTCCGCGCGCGCCTCAAAGAACCATCAGACCACCACGGATGGGGCCCAATAGGGCTGATGTCGATACGGAGCCGCGGAGGACTTAACGGGTTGCCGGGGCTCCGGCTCGAAGGGCAGGAGTAGGAACGGGGTGTTTTTTGCCAGTAAGAGTCTGACACTCCCTCCCGCCTCACCCAGGCGCGAGCAGTCATTCGATGATTTTCTCCCCTTAAAAAAAGGCACAAAATCATGCATGTAATTGGACTTTAAAGTTGAGATGCCGCAAGGAACCCATCTCTACCAGTAATGCCATAAATCGAACAAATAAACATAAAATGTAGCGAACCATTTACAAAGTTCTATGAATTTTATTAGGACCATCAATTGCACTTAGTGACTCATAAACTGTCCATAAATGTACACTTCGTCATGTAAACACTAATAAAATTAATCGATATTTTACAATGTGGACTGAGCTTATATTATTAATTGATGAATGACAAGAACATTTTCAAAGTACGTGCTGCTCTTTACAACGATAATTATTTGCTTGATGCAATAAACCGGAGTGTAATTCGTCTACACGTGGATCGTTTCTAATTTAATGACTGACATAATCATTACAAAGTAAGCGCCAGTAATTTTAAATCAGATTAAATCTAGGGTACTCAAAATGTTAGTAAACGTGTAGTGTTAATAACCAGGTCGATTAGGTACAAAGTACAACAATAGAAGTGTTACCACGCGACCTCACAATTAGGATCGGAAGCTATAAATAATCTCTGTGAACACAGAAACTTCTAGGTCCACTTATAGAGGAACAGATAATCCTGTGAAATCACGTGCAAGTAATAATTAAATATAATGAATAACTGTTTATCGAGGAAAATAAATTGTCGTATCTATTACGTTAATTATTCAAGGGAACACATTGTCAGCACAAAAGCAGGGTTATAATTAGTAAGGGAACTGAACAGATGGGAAATATCACCATTTATAGAAATAGAACGTCAGACGTCAGAATGACTGCCTTGTTGGCCGAGTGATCGCAATTGCGACTGCCGGGTAAGGGGTCTCGGGTTCGATTCCCGGGTCGGGCAAAGTATTACTGGGTTTTAAAAAAAATCTCAGTAGTAGCACGGAGTCTGGAACTGTGCCCGGTATATGGCAATAGGCTCACCCCCTATTACATGGGACTCATAATATAAATAGTGAAAAGTGGGTGTTACATTGTACAGTGGTATAATGTGCCTACCCCTTCGAGGATAAAAGGCGTGATGTTATGTTAAAGAAATAGTAATCTGAATTAAATAAAGCTGATGTTTGTATAATGTTGTGGTGGCCAAGAAGTTTAAGACGTCCGAAAACATCGTGAGGTGGGCTTATAATAATGTATAATTATAAGTTTGAAATCGCCAACCCGCATTAAGCGAGCGTGGTGAATAATGCTCAAACAATCACCGTGCGAGAAGAGGCTTTCGGTCAGCAGTGGCCACTCATAGGCTGTTGATGATGATGATATGGTGACGATGTTTGAAAAACAACTTGTATGACCTGAGTGTCTGCATGTCATGTGGATATCACAGTGCAGTTTAGGTCTGCGGTGTGATAGAATCTTATTACTCGTTCAAGTTTTAGTTCTCGTAATTTTTAAAAGGATTTTTTAGTCCTCGTAAGAACTTCTAATCAATATGGTTGTAGAATCTAGGACTAACTGTGCAGTGTTCATATCCCTGGGTTGTACTTACAGGAAGGGTTTCATAATTATCTTGTTCTGGCTTGACTCTAATTTAGAAAAGTGTGAATGAAATAACCATTACAAAGATCCTATCTACTTCCAGAATATTCATCTCATAAATGATATTAAATTTCATCTTTGTCCACAGCCAAACCTTATCAAAGCGGCAGGCTACCCAGTAGAAAAGCACCGTGTGTACACTCGAGATGGCTACATACTGCAGATGCATAGGATTCCGGCTGGAAGACGGATCGTTAGACGAATAGATGAGCCAAGTGCTAAAGGAAAAAAGGTCATCATCATCGTTCATGGCCTCGCTGGCAGCAGCGGAGACTTCGTCATTATGGGACCCGAGAAAAGCCTTTGTACGGTTTTAATATAATTTTGATTTAGAAGCGATAATACAAATAACCCACAACCTCAAAGATATAAATATTTGATGGTTCCATTATTATTTTTTCAGCTTATATTTTAGCTGACGCCGGGTACGATGTGTGGTTGGCCAATTTGCGGGGTACCGACTACAGCAGCCACGTGAACCTTACAAAAAACGAACAGAAATTCTGGGAATTCAGGTAAAAGCCCAGTTCTACATGTCTAATGATAAGGTTTCTAAACCTAAAACGAGAAGTAAGAAAAAGATATTATCGATTTGTTAAACAGTTTCCACGAACACGGCAAATATGACCTGCCGGCAATGATTGACCACGTCCTGAACGTGACGGGGCAAGAGAAGATCATATATCTGGGTCATTCCATGGGAACCACCAGCTTTTTCACCATGATGTCCACAAAACCGGAGTACAATGACAAAGTGTCCTTCTGTGTAGCGATGGGAGCCGCTGTCTATTTGGAAAATGTGAAACCGGTTGCAAAATTAGCGCTAGTGAATTTGAATGTAACGGTGAGTTTGTTGCAAAATGTGATATGTAATGTAATTAAAATTCTTTGATACCGTTAGGGTAATGACATAACGCAGTACATAATCAGGTACCGTTGTCAACATACTGTTTGGTAACAGAACAAAGGAAGAATCAGATGATTTATAGCACTGTGATTCCTGAAGGGTATAAAATTGGGTGTCTTCAAGGCCCGAGTGAGTAGGTTGCTTGTTGGCAGACGTGCTCCATCGTAGGCCACATCATCGCTTACCACCACGCGAGATAGTGGTCAAATGTATGCCCATCAAATCATAAAAAGAAAACTTAGGTGAAAGGACCAAATTGATGTGCGCATTACAAATTTACAGAACATGATGCGGGAGAGAGGTGTCTGGGGTATCCATCCATCGATGGTACAGGGCGTGGTGAAGAACCTGTGTACACTGAATCAGCCCGAAATTGACCTATGCACCAACTTCATATTTTCTATAATCGGCGAAGATCGGGAACAACATGACTTGGTAAGAAGCAACATGACTGTAAGGAAAGGCCAACCGGACTTTAAACTTGCGACTATGGTAGACCTTATTTGATAACTAACGCTACATGAAAGATAAGAAATGACAAATATTTTTGCAGGATATATTCCCTATTTACCTGCACAGGCTTCAAACGCAGCCGTTCCGCTCGTTGGAGCATTTTGGAAAAATTGCCTTAACAGGTAAGCATCTAATGGATAACATTTAAATCCCGCCCAACGGCTAAACAGATTGAACTCTATACTTTAATCTTTGCAAATATTACTGTCTTTTAAGTGACTCTTGCACAAATACATAGTTCTTGCGAAAGTAGACCTTAAAGAGGAAGCACAAACAATAAATTCAAGAGTAAAATATACTCTAGTGAAAAAACTTGCTTGAGTGAATTGTTGGTCTAGTAGGAAAATATTCGAAACGAGTACGCGTTCGGCACTCTGATTGGTTGGTTTATTGGAGCCGGCCAATCACAGCGCCGAACGCGTACTCGTTTCGAATACTATAAACGTAAAACAAACTCGTACTATAAGGCCTCAGAAGTGGCTTGTTCGAAAAAAAAAGTTTGCGCGTTACAAGCTCTGAAGGTGTAACAGTCGATAGGCAGGTGTGCACTGACTGCACATGTTCAATGTAACACACACTTTATACAATAGGTTAGTAGTAAAGTAGTGAGTCTATTCAGTCTATTGCCATTACAATGAGCTCGATTCCAGACTCTGTGCTATTATTGACAACTTTCGAAAAATCTTAATGTCTATAATACTTTCCTTTGAATTATATTTTCGAAAAAATTAATGTTTCACAAGTATTATTATTTTAAAATAAAATGATCAAATATTGATGTTTTTATGTTTCACATAGGTCCAAGATATAAAAACTATGAAATTTATAAAAAGGACGATGTATTTGTTTCAGGAGTATTTACAACTTTCAGTGGTGGTGTGAATGGTCCAGTGAAGCCATACAACTTAACTAACGTTAGAGTTCCTGTCACTTTAGTATATGGAGAGAATGATCAGCTCACTGAAAAATCTGTACGTACTGCTATTTTATTACTATTTTTGTAGATATAGCGACTGAGATCGGTAGGTAGGTAATCTTAGAAGAGTAGAATGTTAAGTACAATATAAAAACAAAGTTATTGATATCTATTGTTACAAAAGTGCCTTCCTGGTCTAATTGTAATAAATTATTATGATTGTGACTGATTTTAACTATAGCCCGAAGGATTAGCAACTGCAGTGGCGGTGGGCTGGTCACTACTGTAAAACCGATATACCGATAAAGAAAAAAGTAAAAAAAACAAGGCATTATACATTGCACCGTAAGTGTGGGTCTGCTGCGGACGGCGAGCAAGGGTAGCTCGCCGCCCGACCAGAACCAGACCCGTGTACGCACGGGTCTGGTTCTGGTCGTGTCGCGTTCCGGCGCGCCTCATGGAGCCATCAGACCACCACGATGGGGTCCAGTAGGGCTGATGCCGATACGGAGTTGCTGAAGGCCTAACGGGTTGTCGAGGCTCCGGCTCGAAGAGCAGGAGTAAGAACGGGGTATTTTTAGTCAGTAAGAATCTGAAACTCCCTCTCGCGGCGAGAGTCTCGCCTAATCCAGGCCAATTGACGATGGTCCATACCAAAAAAAAAACAAAAAGAAAGCTTTGTTTCATACTATATACTGATGTGTTTAAACTTTTTTTATAACAAAATATTCTGTCTGTTTACAGCAAATATTGAAGTTGGCAGAGGAGCTCAGGTCTATTGGAGTTCTAGAAGAAGTAAGGCCGGCTTGTTCCTGGCCCAAGTTCAACCACTTCGACTTCATGTTTGCTAAGGATGTAGGCAAACTACTGAACAAACCACTTGTCAAGTTAATAGATAAATTATACAATAAATATAATACAGCATGATGTTATATTTTTATTGACTTTGTATCTCAGATTTGTTTTATTTATTTGGGTGAATGAAAAATAGAAGCATGTGTGTATGAAGTTTTTTACATATATTTTCACAAGTAACATTTTAGTAAGTTTTTAGCTGGCGATGAGCTACATCTGGAAATGTAGTAGGTAATTAATCAAACTGACTTACTAAAATAGATCCTGGTATGTCTGTGACATGGTAAAATATACTACATAAAATATACTTAGCTTAAGAATAATAAAACAATATAGTATTTAAAGTTGAAGTGAGAAATAATGAGAATGTAACACAGTGGGCAAACATACCTCCACCATGACAAATTGGCAAGTTATATCACATAACTGTTAACTATTTTATTCATTAGCCTCTTATTATAGAGAATATTTTTGTTTGTTTCACTAATTTTAGCCTTTAGTTTTACAGAGAATATTTTTATTTGTATTAGTGGTTCTAGTCCTTAATGTATTCTGTTTCTTGGCATTTGTTAAATAGGTTTAAGTTCTGATGGAAGGGGTGTGAACTGTGTTCAAAAAAATCGAAAAATCTGTTAACTATGCCATGTTATGTGTTGGGTTGTTGTAACTATAATCATACTAGTTTCTACCCACATCTTCATACATGCAAACCCATTCTCTTTTTATCCTGTATGATGTTCAGAATTATTTTTTTCAGTCATAAAAACCTTCTCCTGACAGTATCAGAAAACATTGTGAAATCGGTCCAGCTGTTCATGCATGATGGCATAAGCATAACTAAGGGATATAGGGATTCATTTTTATATAATTATATTGATGAGAAATATAAGTAACCTTTTTAAGATTAAGACAATATTGTTTCATAGTACATAAGTAAATCTGTACTAAAAACTTAATGCAACAGTATTCACACTTTATAGTACCTAACATCTTTAGCTTATTTGCTATCTCAGAAATTTACATAGTGTTACAATAACCATTGATATCTCACAAGCGTTTACATCATTTGAATTAAAGAGATAAGCTTTATATAGTCATGTAAGCTAAACACATAATTACTAAATTTCAGCTCAATCAGTTGAAGAAGTCTACTTCAAAATTCAGGTGTGAGATTCCACTTCACACAGATGTATACATACATAGTATACACACATACATTCATTGCAAGCTAAATCAAGCTTGTTAAATAACTTACCTTCACAACAGGCACCTTTGTAGCACCAGGAACCACTTTGTTAGCAGCACCATATTGGGGTACAGGTGCAACCACCTTATTATCCATTGAGTGACTACTACGATTCAGTTCTACACCTGAAATTAACATAATTGATAAAATGGCTCTCATTTCTGTAAGCAGTAAGAGTAATGACGTTTTGGTTCACGTTATTTAAATTAATATATCTCGGTATGCCAGGCGGTTTACCAATCAGGGTTTATTCAATTAGGAACAAATATCTAATAAATCATAATTATGCAGTTCTTTAGCTACAGCCAACTCCAAAAGACTTATAAATCGGTACCCTTACTTATTACGTTACTATAATAGGCCATTATTTTACATAATTTAACTTATGAATGGTAGTGATAGTAATTATTACCTTTATTCGGCATTGCACTGTGTGCATATTATAGAAAACCACATTGAAACGCTTTGAATTATTTATATGCATGCATGCCTGAAATTCAACCCCTAACGAAAATAATAACAAAGAAACGTCATTGTATTTTCAGACCACAAATGGCACTGTCAATGTCAAAATGCTTTTTTATTTAGAAAAAAAATAAATATAGCAAATGGGGCCTAGGTATAGTTTAGTCGTTAAAATTAGGTTTTTAATTGAAATAAAAATTACTCTTGATTTATGTAAGTGAAGTTATTTAATACGATTGAGCTTTATAAACAAATTAAAGATTATCACTATAATGAATTGTTGAATTCAGCTATCTATGTGTCATCTGTGCGGTGACAACTGATGACATGACATTTGCTTAGCTGTCAAAGTGACATACCGACGACATGACCTAGATTATTGGATCGGTTCAGTCTTATCTTTTGCTGTGTTACAAAAAAGCATGATTATAAAAATAAGATAAAATTATAACTTTCAGTGAGGTAAAAGAGAGATAGCATAAAAATAATGATTGAATAATCCAACTTATAAACTAACATTGGAATTGGAACACCCTGCCTGCTGTCTGGCTGCCTGTTCGAGTCGGCATCGGTTTCGTTGCACGAGCATTTCATAGTAATATAATATTATAATTAAATTAATTTACATGTGATTATTTACTACTGAGGTTACTAATATTTCGACAGTGTTTTCTCGAAGAATAGTCATGGATCTCCACAAGCCAGTCGATCCTAATAAGGTAAAACTAAATTGGAATCTAATAAAAGATTTTTATATATAATCGTAAAGAGTGTATTAATCTTTATATATTTTTCTGTTTAGACTTACGAGGAGCTAAACTCGGAGGAAAAGTTAAGGTGAGATATTGATTTATTTCCTTGCCACATTGATGGTCCTGCAGTACTAAGTAAATAAGTCATAACTATAATAAATTGATAAGGGACTGCTGTCACTTGTAAGTCCCAGATGTATATATTGTGAGTAATTAATTAATGTAATGGGTATTATGTATGACTTTGTAATTATGCACAAAGGTAATGTAGTATGCTTCTATAAAACTTTACTTTACCTTGTACCATAACATCACATTCAGTATTTCATCACAAGAATGACAGTTTCTTGAAAATATTTACTGGTACTGCTACATACTGTATACTCGACTAAGACAAACTTGTTACAATAATAATCATCATCAACAGACAACAGCCCATGAGTGTCCAATGCTGGACTGTAAGCTTGAGAGAGAGACAGTTGCCGGCTAGGAAAACTAATTCATTAATTTGTCACAGATCCAACTAAATTCATATTATTTTTTCCTGATTCTAATTAGAATACTCATGTTTGTAAGTAGGTACTTAACTAACAGACGGACTATGAGTAGTCAATAAAATAAAAAAAACTTAGATTAGATTTATTCACCTTTGATAATAATTTATTTAAAATGTTAACCTTGTAATCTTGATATTACCTCATTGATAGCAAGAAAAATTAATTGAATTAGTAATGTATATTGATTTTATAATGTAGCTTAAAAATGATACCAAGTAGGTAGTATAAAGCCAAGGATACACGACGGGCAGCGACGTGGGTTGAAGTAGTACGACGTTGTCGGACTTCACACGACATACCTGAGGCCGACATACGATTTTATTTTACGTTTAAAGTAATCGAAGCGAGTGCGCGTTCAGAGCTGCGATTGGCCGGCGTCAATGAACCAACCAATTAGAGCGCCGAACGCAGTCACGTTTCGTTTCATCATCATCAACAGCCGGAAGACGTCCACTGCTGGACAAACGCCTCCCCCTTACGTTTCGTTTACTTTCAACTTAAAATAAACTTGTACTAAGGCCCCTGGGGACATCGCGCGACAAGTGTCGCCAACTACATCGAGTGAAGTAGCACGACGTTGCCGGACATTTCATTGCCTTGGGAAACAAAACTTTAAGATATCCGGCGAAGTTTGACTTTGCTACGGACATAAGTCGCGCGATTTCGTCAGATATATCAGTCGAAGTTTCGCTAAGTCGCCGATACATGTCGTGGCATTTGTCCCCTAATGTATGCTTGGCTGTCGTAACCGGGGCTCCGGCTCGAAGCGCAGGAAAAGGACCGGGGTGGTTTTTAGTCAGTAAGAGTCTGACACTCCCGCCTCACCCAGGCGGGAGCAGACATTCGATGATTTTCCCATCTTAAAAAAGTGTATTCTTGGCTTTATCTGCAGGTTTTGGCTTCACACTTTGTTAATACATTTCTTCACCTGTTTATACAAAGATAAGGAAGTGTTTCAAAGAAATTCATTTACTTGAATAAACATCTAGTTATGTTACATATAGTAGACTATATTTTAATTTTATTGCACCTTATATTTAAAATTACTTACAAATGGGTAACTACATTTTACCCGTTTTTGCCATTTTTCCTGTTATTACAATTACCATTCATACCTAGATAGATTTAGCGGTTACTGCCTTACAAGTACTTGATATATTGTACCGAAAATCCTCAAAATTTGTCCAAACAAAAGTAGTCTCTAAACATGGGAAATGAGGTTTATAATTGAGTTAGTGGAGACTGCTCACTGGTGACCGCTTAGGGATTGATCAGTATACATACCTACTTAAAAATAAAAACTAATAATGAAATGTGAAATTGTATCTTGGCCTTGTGCTACCTGCGCATTCAAGCATGGATATTATTGTTATCCAAACAAAGACTTAACACCTTTTATATTAGGTTTGTTCAAGAATATTTTAAAATAAAGGACTTCTGGTAAATGCGCTCAGAAGGTGTGTACCTTCTGAGAACATTTAGTTTATGTATAAACTTCTTGTAATCCCTATGATTGTGGCTGTCTGGCTGCATTTACCTGTAAACTACACATCACACTTGGGCTTATTTTTTTTATAACAATGGGTAACTTTATGGCGCCTTTTTGGGGAGAAAGACTAGGGAGTGTGGGATTGTTATCGCACTAAAACCACCCTGATGCTCACCATCTTCACCTATAGAACGACTACAACAATAGCTTGTGAATCATATAAGATGTTGTCGTTTTTTATTTATCCCCTAATGGGCAGGGCAGAGGTACACATAATGACATATGCATGTTATACCAGTTTTAATACGAGTCTTACGTAATAAAGAATTGAACCTTTTGCAATATACCAGGTATTATTTCCATGCTGCAATACCAATAACACTTACTTTCTGCAAGAAAACCCCCATAATACTTTGCGCTACCGGGAATTAAACCCGAAACCCCTAGTTATTACTCTGAATAGACTTTTCTGACACATTGTGGTAATAATTAATTAATATCTAAAGGACAAAGAAATACAGTTTATTTCATGTTTGTATGTAAATGATTTCAGATATGACCATCAGAAGCTGCATGAGATGCACAAGGGGCATGAGTCGATGCACACCACGATGGTGATGATCCTCATCGTCACCCTCGTGGTGGCACAGCTCATCGTCATGGAGTGGAAGAAGAGGCATTACAGGTCATACGCTGTAAGTACTCGTGAAATTTAATATGTATATTAATCAACATAACAACAGGCACTTTTGAAACATCAAATAAATGATAATAATGAAAAATAAATGATTTGATATTGACTTTGGTAGTCAAAATGAAATCATTTATTTGGACTGGACCACTGGACCACATAAAGGCAGTATGCAGACAAAGTTAAAGCTAGGTACCGGTTCTAAACTTTCATATTCTTATACTAACTTGCTTCAAAGTAGACGTGATTAATAATAAACTAATTAGAAAATACACGAAAAATCTGACCATGGGTCGTGCCAGGGACTATATTATGTATAAAATGAATTGCTTTTAGTTTTTCACGATGGTGGCGATGTGGTCCATACCAGTGCTGATGAGCGTCAAGAACCAGTGGTGGAGGTTCATCACGATATGGAGTATATTCACCATGCTCACCGCAGTAGTCATAAGGAAGTCCACCAACAGGCCCATGTCTGTCACCACTCCGAGGTTAGTAAACCAAGATTTTTTTTAATGTAAGTAATACAATAGTTATCTAACTAGTGCCTCGTTGGCCAAGAGGTCGCAAGTGCGACTGCCGGTCAAGGGGTCTCGGCTTCGATTCCTGAGTCGGGCAAAGTATTGCTCGGTATTTAAAAAAATATCTGCCCGGTATATGGCAATAGGCTCACCCCCTATTACATGGGACTCAAACATTAATAGTGAAAATTGGGTGTTTCATTGTACAGGGCATTAACCCTTTGAGTACTGTCATTATAGACACAATTAAAGAACAATAGGTTGCGGTCACCGGTGTCCTCGCGGTGTTTGACAGTTTAAGTGCCGTAATGTACACCTCTGCCTACCCCTTCGGGAATAAAAGGCGTGATGTTATGTCATAACTATTCTTTTTGGGAGTAATACCCAAATCGCCAATTCATAATACCCAGTTATTTAATTTTTAATAGGCCTAACTTCAACACACAATCCTCAAGTGTTGCGGGAATCTATAGGCGTCACCGATTGCTTACCATCAGGTGATCAGTCGCTCGTTTAACGTCAAACTAGCTAGTACAAAGAAACAAAATACTTAATCTATCATATGTTCCAGGTTGGTGTACAAATGGTTCTACTTAATATACAAAGTGAGTTGCTTTCTCGGTGTGGTGGGGTACATACTGATGATGCTGACATTCCTGGGAGTGAACCTACTGTTTGGCCAGAAGCCCCAGCAGTGGATGGACGTGGCCCTGATGTTGTTGTTCTACGGCCTCTACTTCGGAGTACTGGGCCGAGACGTTGCAGAGTATTGTACTGATAAAATGGCCGCTTCCATTGGGGTGAGCAATTATTATTATTTTTCCACTACTAAAGCGCTTTCACTGCCTCGTTGGCCGAGTGGTCGTAAGCGCGACTACCGGGCAAGGGGTCTCGGGTTCGATTCTCGGGTCGGGCAAAGTATTACTGGGTTTTAAAAAACAATCTCAGTAGTAGCACGGAGTCTGGAAATGCCCGGTATATGGCAATAGGCTCACCCCCTATTACATGGGACTCATAGCATAAATAGTGAAAAGTGGGTGTTACTTCTGTGTGCACCTCTGCCTACTCCTTCAGGGATAAAAGGCGTGATGTTATGTATGTTAAAGCGCTTTCACCAATTCCACTTCAAAGATAATTTTAAACTGTTAAACACCGCGAGGACACCGGTGACCGCAACCTATTGTTCTTTAATTGTGTCTATAATGACGGTACTCAAAGGGTTAAGATAGGTGACAATGTGAAACCAACTTATAAGTAACACCTAACATTACAAGTAAGGGCTTAGTTTAGGCGTTTCCTCATGCTGAGTAAGTCTTAGTTGACACATAATTTAGGGGTGACTGATAAAAACGGCCATTAGATAGGCAGTGAGCTGACTTGTTACACCAATTTGTTTTATTCAACATTGCTCCACACTAGGATTTTCTCCTGTGACGTGGATGCGTTTACGAATATACAAATACACATACACATGACACCCAGACCCTAAACAACAATTTGTAGATCACAGTTGCTCCGTGCAGGAATCGAACTCTCTCCAACCGTGCAGGCATTGTGTGAAGAATTATAAGATGTTATAGTAATTTGTATGTTTGTTTGTCCCAGTACTACACGCAGGAAGGCATGCCGACACGTCAGTTGGACAGCAACGTGTGCGCGGTCTGTGGGAACCCATTGCTGGTCAACGTGAATGAGGAGGGAGTCCTAGGTATGTATACTATCCTTACTTCCTTACTAATATTATAAATCGGAAAGTGAGTTTGTTTGTTTGTTTGTTTGTTTGTTCCGCTTTCACGCCGTAACTACTAAACCGATTGCTTTGAATTTTTGCAGACGTAAATTTAGAAGTCTGGATTAAATAATAGGGTACTTTTTATCCCAGAATTTGATGTTCTCGAGAGAAAACGAAATTATTGGTATAGATGGCACTGTGTGTATTGGTATGTGTCACATAGGCTACTTTTTATCCTTTTGTGACGCGAGCGAAGCCGCGGGTAAAAGCTAGTATCTAATAGTTTAGGAATTCATGAGTCAACTTGATTTCACATAGAATTGTTAACTAAACTTAGGCTCCTATAACTGCTCCATCCAAAGGTTGTCTATAAGAAATCGCCTTGTGCGATAAGACCGCCCATTGTACACTGTTATTATTGATATTGTCCTATTATGTGATTGTGTGGTCTATAATCTTATACTATTATATAAAGCGGAAGTTTGTTTTTTTGTTTGATTGTTTGAACGCGCTAATCTCCGTAACTACGAGTCTGATTTAAATAATTCTTTTTGTGTTGGATAAACCATTTATCGAGGATGGCTATAGGCTATAAAACATTACGCTGCGACTAATAGGACCTGAGCAGAGCGTGTGAAACCGAGTGGATGTAGCTAGTGAAGCATATATATAAACAGATTTGTAGGAACAGTTATAAGTACTTGCGTTGTTTGCCTATGCGAGTTATGGAAGGTATATTCTTTCTCCAGTTTCAATCTCCAATGTCCATAAAGCCAGCAGAACTCTGATACCTCCTTTGTTGTTGAATGTCAATGGGCGACGCTGATTGCTTACCATTAGATGATATGTCGTTGGGCGCCCAACACCATATAAAAAAACGGACCGCGAAAAGTTCTGAGTGGCGAGCGACCTTATTACAAAATAATGAAGTATATAATCGAACTGGTATCTATACATCTTTTACCATTTGTTGCAGAGAACACATACAAATTGACCTGTGGCCACGTGTTCCACGAGTTCTGCATCCGAGGGTGGTGCATCGTCGGCAAGAAACAGACCTGTCCCTACTGCAAGGAGAAAGTAGACCTCAAGAGGATGTTCACCAACCCGTATCCTTTTACAAACTCCACTATACTATGTCAGATGAAAACCAGTATAACTTGAGCTTTTGTTCTTGCAAGTGAGAGCTCAACTTGTATTGGACTGAAGTGCTATATGTCAAACAAAATTATTTTAAACTAGATCATATTTCTATATAAATGTGTACACAGTAACTTCCTTAACATGTCATCAGATGGGACCGACCTCACATTCTGTACGGTCAGCTATTGGACTGGATCCGCTGGCTGGTGGCCTGGCAGCCACTCATTCTCTTCCTAGCACAAGGCATTAACTGGTTGTTTGGACTCGAATGAGGCCAACATTATCCACGCAGGATATATGCACAGACTATATAAAGGACAAAATGGGCCATGTGAAGTGATGTGAAGTGTAATTATGAACAGTGTGTTCCTTGATAGTGACTGTTAATACTTCATAGTGAGTGTCAGCGACCCCAGTATTGTGTTTAAACTAGCGAAAATATACAAGTTACGTCACGGTAAGTTATGTACAGAACAGAGACTTAGAGTGTATATCTCATGTTGTTGTCAAACCATACATATTATAATTATTCTATAATTTGATGTGTAGCTAATTAAGTACATTGACTTTCTGCAGCTACTGTCTGTCTTATTCTCAGGTATTAGAAGTCAGTTTTGATTGGCAGAATAGTAAACTTGCCTTTTCAGTTTAGTTGAATTAGAGTTGGAAAGTTTTCATGTTTTTAAGTGTAATTTGCAGCAATGATAATGTATGTTCCATGGACTTTACGATTATGGTAAAAGTTTAAAGGTTTGTGTAAGAAACAAGAGAAGTAAGCCATGGCGACACCACGCTCTGCCGTGTGTCACTCATAAATATGAGCCCCAATGTGTCTTGATACTAGTAGCTTTCCTTCGTTAGTTCACGTGTGTAAATCCGCATATTTCAATTAATTTAACTGACTGATTTTTTGCATTTAGTGGTCACCCAGGGATTAACACGAATTTTCATAATAACTACCTAATTAACTAATTATGTATTTCGTTTTTATTTGTCAAGTTTTCTACGGATTGCACTGATGATCGTACCATTTGTAACCAGATTCATTTTAAAGTAAATTCACATTAGTTATTTACCATTGTTGAAAGTTAAAACGAGATACTTGGGAACTATGTTTATTAATTTATTATGTGATTGTGATACTTCAAGCAAGTGTAGGAGAGTCAAGCTTCAGCACGAATGAGGCGACTCCACCGAAGTGATACCACGGCCTTACAGAAAACAGGCGTGAAACATCGCTTGAGTTGTGTATCGCCGCGGGAGCGAAGTTAACAAAGGCCCAATTCCTTCCCTCCTCAATCCCCTAATCTGCAATCTTCAAATTCCTAACCCCCCAAAAGGTCGGCAACGTAATTGTAATTCCTCTAGTCCATGGACGGCGACGATTGCTTACCATCAAGTGATCCGTCTGCTCAAATATCCTGGCAAAGAACGGGCGCTATTAGCATTTCCCCTAATTTCCTAACAAACTTACGGTAAGCCTTTTCTCGTTTGACCTGTATGTCTGCGATTATATCGCGATTGTCTGCACCGATTTTGATGCGATTTTCAAAAAAGTGTTAGTTACACTTAGGAAAAGGTTTTAGTATATTAATTAAACAACTACAAAGAAAAAAAGGGGGCTAAAATCGGTTTTTTTAGCTACCAAAAAAGAAATAATTTGTCCATCCATTCACGGGTGATGCGATGACCAAGAGATAACTAGTTATTGGGATAACTATTTCTCAACTATTTACTCATCTCATATTTTTAGAGGCACGAGGGATGTTAGTTTTAATTATGTGCACATCTGCCCGCTCCTTCTGGCAATAACTTGAAGTTATTTAATTTTATGAAACATCAATATGAAATTGTATGTCATCAGTTCTTAACATGCACTTGATTAGACTGCAAAACCAACCTTCTTATTGTAAAATAAACTCACTTTTGCAAAGAGCAAAGCGTTATTTTCATATAACTTGTATTATAAGCCGTAAGTTAAAGCAATAAAGTAGTTTATTGCAGTTCACGAGTCTTCAAATTAATGTTGTATGTTTTAGCAGTATTTCTTTATTTACTTTTTTGAATAAATTGTATGTACAGATGCCAAACCTTCAAGCTATATGGAACTTTAATAGATTTTCGATTTAAACAGGTAGCAATTAAGTTCAAAATGTGTTGAAGAATGAAATCGTGAAGGATTTCGTTATTTTTCAACCATATTATTTTGTATGGATAAAGTGGAAAATCTAAATGATATTTCTGATTTAGCGACCAATTTCTGTCGTGTCGGGAATGAGGTCTAACTTCTTGTGTTCACCAAATGATGCTAGTACATGGTCTTGTTTATCCAATAGACAATTTGTCAGTGGTAAATCATTGGACGGCCATTTTTGGCAGCTACAGTGATTGGACAATTAGGACCTCGCAATACATAGGCGCAACGTGGCGCTATGTGATGAGCACAAAACGTAAGCCTTCATTGCTGGTGTTTCTAGGTACCCCATGTTTGTGCTATGTCATTCCATGTTGTAAGTACTACCTACTAGTAGTTGTATGTATGTGAATTATTAAAAATATTATTTTTGTAAAAAAAGGTTAAATGATCAATTAAGTGATGTATTTATTAAAATAATCTTATGTTATTTTGTACAAAAATAAATTGTTTGGATTGTAACCTTGTTTTTTTACTGACTTATGATTAAACCGCTTACTTTACGTTGTGGTCTCTCATTCACAAGGTCTTACGGTTCGCCGTGTTAGGAGGCCGCGGGAGGCTCAATCTTCTTCCCTCCCCACCCTTGATCCTTTATCCCCAAATCCCTGACTAAATTCTCTCACATCTCGAATTTCCGAAAGACCGGCAACGTACGTGTATCTCGAACTCCCAAAAGACCGGCAACGTACGTGTATCATGAAATCCCGAAAGACCGCAATGTACATACGTGTATCTCGAACTCCCGAAAGACCGGGAACGTACATACGTGGATCTCGAACTCCCGAAAGACCGGCAACGTACGTGTATCTCGAACTCCCGAAAGACCGGCAACGTACATACGTGTATCTCGAACTCCCGAAAGACCGGCAACGTACGTGTAAGTTCTCTAGTTTTGCAGACGACCGTGGCGGCGCCGATAGCTTACCATCAGGTTATCTGTTTAGTTTTCCGTCCTAACTATGCCATAGATAACGTGTTTCGACTGTGCAGTCAATCGCGTGTCTCGCGGAGAAACTAACGGGTAACCGGGGCCCCGGCTCGACGTGCAGGAGAAGGAACGGGGTGGTTTTTAGTCAGTAAGAGTCTGACACGCCCTTCCGCCTCACCCAGGCGGGAGCACACATTCGATGATTTTCCCCCCTTAAAAAAAAAAGTCAATCGTGTCATTTTTTTAGGTAGTTTAAAGTCTTAAATTAAGAATAACTACAAATAATTTGATTCTTGGTCTATCTATCTATTTGGTCTACCTTTTCCGTTAAACTGAATTTTATCTTCTTTAGTAATTTGACTTTGTAGGAACATTTTTTAGACGGTGGTATAGGTTTCTTAACTTTTGGCTTGTTATTGTAATAAATGTCTCGGTTTTAATAAAATATCGGGTCTGGCAAAAACAAACAATTCTTAATAGTTAGTTTTTGCTACACAACACTTATATAGTTATATATGAACTTCTTTGGTCACTAAGAAGTTCGTGGGTGATGATAACCTGCAAATATGTTTTTTTTCGAAAGCCATAAAAAAGTGAAAGTTTCATCTCATTCACTTTTTTTCCAAATTCTGTCAGAAAATCAATTCTCTCAAACCTAAATACCATGCCGTTATTAACAAAAACAATGTAATTTTTTTAACAATATACATATAAATTCGGGTGTTATAATTTTAATAATCTGTAGGAAATTATTGTGTTGGGGATCAATATGATAGGCCCGCTACGCTATTGTACCCACATAAAACATATGAACTACACCCCCATAGTATTCAATAATCCGAATGTAGGAACCGTATTCAATGGCCTGGGTAAGTCGGCTACTTTTACTATTTTATGCACGATCAAGTTATATACTAAACTCTTGACGTCGTGTCGACAGTAACTAAACGTCACGCCTTTTACCCCCTCAGGGGGTAGACAGCAGTTGACATGGTAAATTATTTAGGTTCCTCAGTTACCTAATTCCTTTTGAAATGGTATTACCCTTTTGCCATTGGCTAAACATTTCCCAATACCTTGCTACTAACTACTGAGAGATTTTCGAAAACACTAGAAGTCTTCCTCGGTGGACACATTTGGAGTTAAACTAAAAAGTGTATTTTTGAAACAAAGGGTATATAATGTGGCGCTTGTAGGCCTAGTTACTGCTTAGTAGCTTAGTTATTAGCAAACTTACTAAACTGACTCTATAAAAATAGACTTCACAGAGTGAATCTGCTAACCACCGACGCTATGTTACAGTAAATCGTCTAAACTACTCACAAGACAAGAAGGGATGTTGTAAAGATATCGCGCAGACTACTGGGAAAAAAGTAGAGCCATGGCCAAAGACAGACCCACCGACCCAGCCGTGGCGGGCCGAGTGCTCGCAGGAGCCCCAGCCTCCCAACTACGACCCCTACAGGATAAAAGTCCCCGACGTTGTCGTGCCGCCTCTACCGGCTAGCAATGTTAAGGTAATTACACTGTTGATGTGTTTTTGCACACAATCCTGAATTGAACCTCTGCGACATTATTATAACGGTGTTTATTTAGTGCGTTTGACGAAAACAGAGCCCCGCGACGTGTAATTAAGTATCTAATGAAATCCAGCTTGTGCTTTGTTCATCAGCGGACCGGTGTGGTGTTCACGACCACTGAGCAGCACGGCCAACGTCCCCAGCCTGACTACCACCACCAACATCATCAGTTCCCGTCTCATTCTGGATTCCAATCTGGCGTCGACCAGCAGGTCATCGAGGAAGAAGAAGCTAAAGAACCCGGTTTCTTCGGACGTCTAAAAGGTTTCTTTGGAAAACTGAAAGGCAAAGGAAAGGAAGGAGAAGGGGACGCTATGATCGGTGGCCGCGATGTCAATTGGCTACCACTGTACTGACCGCATTTGGCATCATGTTCTTACTGAAGATCATTCTGAAATAGACGTTTTACAATACAATCAGATGGTTTCATTTTTAGCTTTATACAATATTAACGAGGGCACTGGTTTTCGTCCAACGCACTAAAACACCTCCATGCCGATAGTCCTGAAGTGAATAGTAACATTTTTTGACAGGAAATTCCGAATGAAGATGCGCCGGAGCCCTACAAAAATGCTGGATTTAATTTCAAATCGGGTTCTAATGTTCAAGACTTGTTTCACAACTCTCCTATTGTGCACCCAGATTATTGGAAAGACAAGCCTTCGAAGAGGCTGACCGAGGCAGTGAAGGAGGTCTTGCCCAAACTGGGGTACCATGGCAAGAACAAATACAAGTACGCGTTCCACGAGCCCTGGAAGCCGCTGGACCGCATGTCTTTGCTGGAGGAGGCTGAGAAATTAGAGCTAGAGCAGGCAGAGGATATGAACATCAAAAGTGACAAACAGGGGCTCTGATTTCTGATTCGAAAAAAATTGAAAACTTTAGCTTGGTTTATTGGTCAAATGTCGCATAGTTTCGCAAAATAAAATGGTGTTATTTGTACGATCTTTGACGCTTTTACTAGATTTTGTACCTAGACATAAGATATACCTACAATACCTACATACATACGCATTATACTACTAACGTATAGCTCTCGATAAAGAGTGAGAGGCAAACATACCTATGTTTGTTAATACCAAGATAATCTAAGTAATTATGTTAGCACGTCAATTTTTTAAGTTTTTAGTTCCCTAGTACCACGGTAATAATATCATAGTGCTAGTACCTAGTTACTTGAATACTGATGAAGGTTATTCAAGAACTAGTTGAGAAAGAGTATTGTGTGAATACCTACAATAAGGTGGCCTTGCAGGGACTGGGGAGATGATTGAACGGCTTTTTTTAACTTTTCTACTCAGAACCCCGTGAAAGGTGAGAGTTTTTGTGGCATGTCTGCATATGAATGTTGTTGTTTGTTTGTACATCTGTGTTGATGGTGCTTGCAGCCTATGCTTGACTGCGCGCGGCAGAGAGGCCCCTGTTCATTGAAGCCGGTACTACCGCCGCCGCCGCCACCACCGCCTCCTCCACCGCCATTTCCATGGATTTATGTGTGGGCACTGTTATCGTTTTTTGGTGCGTTTGGTCTGGTTAGTATCTCATTTTAATGTTTACATTTATGCCAGGTCCTGAACTAAAGTAAAAAGTTTTTGTGGTTAACCTTAAGATTAGTACGTAATTTTATCAGATAGCAGTTTTTGTCAGGTGAGAAAGGCCAGGCAGAATCCTTTAGGCACGCAAAAAGTATTGCACATCAATTGACTAAAAAGAGGATTAGAGAATAGATCTTTTAGTTATGATGAAATAGTTTAATTACGTTTTATGTAATATTATGAGTGATATTAATGAAGTGTTTAAAATACATCAGTCCGTGACACATCACACTCAAACCGCTGGACGGCTGACAGCAATAATAAAATCCGCATCTGTTCTGTTCTACAAAAGTACAATGAGAGTGGTGAGGGTCGCAACAATACAGCACAAACCGCTTTTCCATTACTAAGCACAAACATAATCAAAACGATAAAGTTTGATAAATTCGCATCGAGCTGAAACGCAACTTTCTTTGTACATGAACTGCGAACTGAGGGACTAGTGCGAGTTATTTTTTACGTTAACGCAATCGCAACGTTTAGCCCTCTGATTGGTTGGTTATTTGTAGCAGCCAATCAGAGTGCCAAGCACGATTAACTATCGCATTCGTAACGTAATAGTATCGAGCGCGTTCGGCGCTCTGATTGGCTGGCTCAAGTGAACCAACCAATCGGAACGCTTAACTAGCTCGATACGGTTACGATACGAATGCGATAGTTATTCGTGCTTGGCTCTCTGAGCGCCGAACTTCATAAAACGAGACTGTCGCGTTAACGTAAAACAATGGCATTAGGCCCTGTTGCAGACGAGCGTAGACGCACCATTACGCGGATTGTGATGAATCTTCGTCTCCGGCCGAATGTTATAAATTATAATTTATAAGTTAGCGGTAATATAATGTAGGTAAATAAATAACGTTAATTAATTTCCTCATGCATAAAATACGGTTGCGGCTTTCAACTAATAATAGACTGGAGCTGAAGATTCGGTTTCCGCTTCAGAATGGAACAGCGGTAGATGTGCCGAATAAAATGATATCCCCAACTAGCAACATTGTTGGTACATAGCGCATATTGTTCATAATAGTCCTTTGTCCAACTATGTATTTAGCCAACTGTACCTAAATTATTTTTTATTTGTCATTTAGCTAACAATTCTTAGTTACACAATGCTACTGTTAAACAAGTAACGCTTCTCTAGAAGTAAATCGAAAGGTTGAAATCTTTGTGATTTATAATAAGCTCCTTGTTTCCGAAATAAATTGGCATGCATTTTTTAAATACTTATGTAGAGAACCTCGGAAATAAGCTCAACATAATCCAAAATTTTCGACTTCAACTTGTAACAAATCAAGGTGATTTATTAGACCTTTACAGAGTGGTTGAACTAGGAAACCGTTTACTAAAATACCTAAGTATTGCTTGTTCTGTATATTTACTCGCCAAGTGTATTAAACTTATTGATAACTAGTTAATGTTGCTACATTGTAAAAGTAATTAAAAGTTGCTAGTTGGGGGCCAGATTAATTTCATTAGAGATGCAACGGATATGCCGATTATATCCGATTCTCCGAATAATAATTTGGCCGGATAGTAGCGGTTTTGTAAATCACCGATTAACAGCAAAAACATAGCATAATATTTATTGTCTTTTTTCTAGGTGCACAGAATAATTCAATATTAGTGTTAAATAATGTAATTGAATGGTCGTATGCTATGATGTAAATATAATGATATGAATTTGTGAAGTGATGCGACAATTGTTTTGTTTACTTGTTCTTTCAGGCGTATTTACTGTAATTATTTTGAACTTATGCCTCTTCATGTGTGAGTAGGAAATAGTCGGATTATTGTGCAATTTGGTTAATGCCATACTGTTTTCTACGTCTATTTTCTTCTGACATACCTGTTTGAGGAGCTTTGCGGATAATTAAGTTTGGAATAATAAATAAAGATTACAAATACCCCTTATATCCGGCTGTCGGATATTCGTCACTATTATTTTCTTATTTAATCCGTTGCATCTCTAATTTTCTTTTTCTTTCAGGCGTATAAATTGTATTTGTGGAGAGAAATGCGGGAGGTCGCGAGTGAAAAATTTGTATGTGAGTTGAAATTTTTTTATTATTTTTTTTATCATTAATTTAATGATAATGCATACATGATTCCCTTTCCTAAGAAGATCAATTTTAAGAAAGTAGTGTTTGCCGTCTTCATAATGTAGTCGTGTTTAATTTAGCTATCATTATTTAGTAACTTAAGTACTTATCATTTGTTTCGTATAATAAATATTCTGTAATGTCCATTCGGTGTTAATATTTCGTGTAAAAATTGTAACTGTAATTGATATATTTGTTGCACAGGGCGGCCGCGTCGAAAGATTAAGCGGCCATACCACGACAGGGATCTACCGCCTTGTGTGCAGTATCTTATTATAGGCACCGGTGCCGCCGGCTGGGCCGCATACAGAGCTATCATGCAGCACGACAAACGAGCCAAGGTATAAAACATAATGGCTTCTCTACATATTCGGTGAACTCGGACGAATACGCGCGAACACGATCGTGTACGGCACATCGGCCTAATTCGCCAACGTTACGCCTACGATCTCAACAATACTCACGCATCGTAGATGAATATAGACGAACACGCGTTCGCCGAATATCGGCGATAGTGTAGTGAGGGCATTCAACCATATAGTTCATAAATTATACTTTAACTAAGTAGGTACAGAAAAAGTACCTACTACTGGATTTTTTTTTAATTCTTAGTAGTAGCACGGAGTCTGGAATTGTGCCCTGTATATTAATTAATTTATTTATATATTTATTTATATGGCAATAGGCTCACCCTCTATTACATGGGACTCATAACATTAATAGTAAAAAGTGGGTGTTACATTATATACATGGCACTAAGAGCCGTAATGTGCACCTCTGCCTACCCTTCGGGGATAAAAGGCGTGATAACATCACATGTTATGTTACAGAAAAAGTTTATTTAAGTAAAAATCTTTAAGGCTGGCTGAAAAATAGAGGCGATGACAAATGTAAATAATGCCATATGGCCACACGACTTCTTTTAATATCTCATTTCTTTCTATTAAATTAATTACTGAAAACGTAAATTTTTCAGGTGTTCTTTGTCACGAAAGAAGACTCGGTACCGTACCAGAGGCCGCCCCTCAGTAAAGAGATGTGGCTGAACCCGGACCCGCCTGACCCGAAAGTTCTGACTTACGTCCAAGATGAAAAGCGGAAAACGTTGAGTTTTTTCATTTACTTTAACTACGTAGTATTTTATCGAGTAGGGTGACAAACGAGCAGACGGATCACCTGATGGTAGCTATCAGTGCCGCTCATGGACACACGCAACACCAAAGTCTTTATCAAACTCTTGCGTTAAGTAGCAATAGTAACACATTAAGATACTTATTTAAAGATAATTAATCATTTCGTTTAGAATGTTGAACGCAGAGTGCAGAGATTTTTTGGACTCCGTACAATTTTATCGGAAGAAAAGAGGTCCAGCGGTGTCCATTGCGTCAGGATGGTGTGTGACGAGGATCGATGCGGATGACCACGTGGCGTACGTCAAGACATTGAGTGGCGAACGTCCTATATACTACGAGCGTTGTCTCCTCGCACCAGGTCAGAGACACATCATCATCATCATCATCATCAACAACAGCTTATAAATCCCCACTGCTGAGCCAAACCCCTTCTCACACGGAGAAGGTTTGAACATTAATCACTACGCTTCCTGATTGCGGGTTGGCGATTTCTAACTTATTAATTAGAAATGAAGTTCAGGTTTCCTCATGATGTTTTCCTTCACCGTTTGTCAGTGGTGTCCAAATAATCTTAGAACGTACATATAACTCAGAAAAAGTGACATTGGTACTTTCCGTTGGGTGGTTTCGAACCAGCACCCTCATGCATGAAAAGTGGGTGTTTTAACCTCGACGCCACGACACTCGTCGTCACCATATCAGACACAAAACTATCTTACATGGGCGGAGGCCCATGTATGTCATTGGGGGAGCCCAATGACTTCCAAATAGGCTGGTTGGAAGTGACTCTGAGTTGTCTGTTCAGCTTGTGGGTGAAACACATAGCTACTATGATATTATAGTACCATGTGGTGACAGACAGAGTACACATTTGTCACATATCCTGATCTTCACAGAGCCGATTTACACATTGTACAACCTGGACAGCAGTACCTCTGATAAACTTGAACTTTTTTTATATTATATTTACCCGCGGCTTCGCTCGCGTCACAAAAGGATAAAAAGTAGCCTATGTGACGTATACCAATACACACAGCGCCATCTATACCAATAATTTCGTTTTCCCTCTAGAATATCAAATTTTTCTGGGATAAAAAGTACCCTATTATTTAATCCAGACTTATAACTTTACGTCTGCAAATATTTAAAGCAATCGGTTTAGTAGTTACGGCGTGAAAGCGGAACAAACAAACAAACTCACTTTCCGATTTATAATATTAGTAAGGATTGGCCAACGTTTGACCACTATCTAGCCTGTTGGTAAGCGATGATGCGGTCTACGATGGAGCACGTCAACCCACAAGCAACCTAGTTTACACATTGATCTCACACTTGACACAAAGACGTTATTATGGTCATGCAATGTCTCGACCAATAACTGTCAGGTAAATCAGTTCCGTATTGTGTGTACAGGTGTTAAGGCTAAAAATCTATCCATTGTCAAATCTGCGCCGAAGCAAGTAAGAGAAAAAGTGTGCACGTTGAGAACCGTCAGAGACTTCGAGATAGCGTACAGGTATGTATGTACAGAGATATAAGTACCTTCATCATGCCATCGCGAAGGACACTCCGGGCGTCAGGGATCGCGGGACGATCTCCGGCCACCGTAAGCGCGGGCCTGCGGACGGCGAGCATGGGTAACCGCCCGACCAGATACAGACCCCAGCGTACGGCACGTCGCGTTTCGCGCCCGCTTCAAAGAGCCATCAGACCACCACGGGTGGAGCCCAATAGGGCTGATGCCGATTCGGAGCCGCGGAGAACCTAACGGGTTACCGGGGCTCCGGCACGAAGCGCAGGAGTAGGAACGGGGTGGTTTTTAGTCAGTAAGAGTCTGACACTGCCTCCCGCCTCACCCAGGCGGGAGAAGTCATTTGATGATTTTCCCCCCTTAAAAAAAGTACCTTCATCATTATTTCCTTGTCTTTCCTTGACTATTGGTACATAATGGTATAAGATCCGATATGCCATCATTAAAAAAAAATTAATCATCTACCCTATTATGCAGTGCATCAGACACTTGAAGGGTCAAAGGGGTCTTTCAAGGCTGGATTGAGCCTCTAGTAACCTCACGCACGCGGCATAACATTGTTCTACGCCGGTTTTATGTAAGGTCGTGGTATCATTCCGGTCAAGTCGGCCCATTCAACTATCTCAAGTGAAATAGTAATCAGAATAGATAGATGACACTGAAGAAAATGTTTGACAATGTTCTTTTTATTTTACAGAAAAGTAAAAGAGGCGCAACATGTCACAGTCATTGGCGCTGGTCCACTGGGCTGTGAACTGGCGTGGCATCTCGGCAGGATGAGTGAGTCCAACTTAAATACTTTTTCTATACTAATATTATAAAGAAGGAACATTCGTGTTATTTGTATGTGTGTACCTATGTATGTATTTATATATTCATATTCATAAATATAAATCCTAAATAAAAATAGCAGAAATAAATTCACTCACTAAGAAAAGTGACGGTTCGAGCGGCGCGGCGTCTTGACCGATTGTAGACATGAGTCGAGAATGCACTTATACGTAGCCGTGTTATGACGGGAGAGTAGAATACATACGTAATATTAATTACCACTCCGCAATTACCCTACTCTTGCCGCAGGTATCCTGTGTCGACTAAGGGACTACACATTAAAGATACCGGGAAATAGTGTCCTCTGAATACCCTTACCCAGATCATTAAACTACGATCTTCTACCTTATCAACAGTAGTCCTGCAATGGAGTCAGAGTCTCCGATGTTATTTATTTATTAATTACTAGCTTTTACCCACGGCTTCGCTCGCGTCACAAAAGGATAAAAGTAGCCTATGTGACCTATAGCAATACACACAGCGCCATCTATACCAATTCTTTTGTTTTCCCTCGGGAACATCAAAATTTTCCGCGATATAAAGTACCCTATTATTTAATCCGGACTACTAACTTTACGTCTGCAAAAATTCAAAGCAATCGGTTTAGTAGTTACGACGTGAACGCGGAACAAACAAACAAACTCACTTTCCCATTTATAATAGTAATAAAGATTATTGTGATGTTAACACCTCTTTACACCAATTACATTAACACACACACAAAGAGAAATCAAAGAGAATCAAACAGTTACAATAACAGAAAAAGAAGAGAAATAACATCAATAAACATATAGTTACAATAGTAGGTAGATGACAAACAAAATGTACCTACATCACAATGAAATAAAAACATAACATTTCATTATACAACGTTTGTGTTTCAGACAAGATATTCCCTCGGGAAGACACTCCTCCACTGGAACTGGTGCACGTGTACAAGGACAAGGGCATCCTGTCAGGTATCCTGCCGGAGTACCTCGGCGTCTGGGCTGCAGAGCACATCAAGTGCGAGGGCGTCAAACTTGTACCCAACGGTACGTACACTTAGAACAAGCTGAAATAACGCGCTTTTAAATCATATGACATAATTATGAAGAAGAAAGCGAGAAAACCATTTAAAGGGGCACTTTATAATAATAAAATAAAAACCTAAGAACGGACATTACGAAAATGATATAATAAACTCAAATACGACACAAATAAATAAAAACATGCTCATGTCGAACGGGCCTCCACCTCAGCATATGTAATGAATCCAAACTCGATATGTTTACTAGTAACATAAGGTTCCATCAGCCACTTTCCAATTCCGTCATCAAATCAGCTCTTTGGTACTATAAATTGTATGGTCATAACAATTATTTGACCATAAAATTATGTAACTGTAATATGACAAGGGCACGGACACAAGTTCGTGGAGAAATATAATTTATTATTACTAAGATAAAAAAATGGTATGGTCGTCTAATCTGCGTGTAATCGGCGATCCTCAAATCCCCAATACGAATCTCGTAACTCCCAAAAAGCCAGCAACACACTTGTAACTTCTCCGGTGTTACGGGTATCCATAGACGGTGCTAATAGCTTACCATCAGGTGAACCGTCTGCTCGTTTTTACCAAAAGTAGTAGTTAAGTTTATTTGCAATATATTTCAGCTCAAGTGTACGATGTATTCGAGTCAGAGGACGGACGACTTGAACTGACGCTATCAAATGGCTCGTCCATTATCACAGACTATGTAAGTGTCCACTGATGTAATAAGATTCTTGACGATGAGTATTTCTAGTATAGATTATTACAATTTTCTAGCGATTCAAATGATATTCGACTTTTTAAGGAACAGAGCGGAAAGTTCCTGATATCGGAAAAGGAAGATCCTCCGACCAGGCGAGGTGATCGTGCCTGGCGGGCTTTCTGCCCAACAGTTGTTCGTTGGGATTTTCTAACTGTGTTAATTAGTAGGATTTGTGTGACGTCATCCGTTGACAAGTACCATATTATGTCGCCACAACTTTATTGTAACTTTTGTCAGTCACATAATTTAAGATTAAAGGTTGCTTATTGTGCTCGCGTAGTGTAAAGTCTAGTATTCCTGCTTATATTATAAGTGCGAAAGTTTGTTTGTGTGTATGTTTGTTACTCGATCACGTCACATCTTTTTATGAGTGCTTGACTAGTTTCAGCGATTCATAATCACGAGCGGTATAAGCGGCATCTTGGCCGATTGTCTCTTTCCAAAGATCGATGTGAAATATTTATCATACTGATATTATACAAGTTTGGTACCGCTGTAAAAAAACATATTATTATAGGTAAGTAGTTATATTTGTGTGATGTGCGCAGGCGTTCGTGGCGATAGGTGCGGAGCCGCGCATAGATTTGGCGGAAGAATCGTTTCTGGAGCGGGACGAAGTCAACGGCGGCTACCTCGTCAACACCGAGCTCGAGGCGCGCACGCATCTCTACATCGTGAGTACATCGCACTACACGCGCATTCGCCTCGTGGGCAGCACTCCGCGCCTCCCCATCGACACCTGCAACACTTACATTAGTGGTGTTACAAGTGCAATGTCGACGTTTCCTCACCTCATCCACGCAGCTCAACACAACGGTTCGAATGTTTCTCGCCGGTTGGTTGGTTGGTTGAGGCTTTGGTATTACCTCTGGTCGCCTGACATGATAGTTTGTCAGATTGGTTGGGTTACAGTTTCATAGTGCATTATAATGTATGTAGGCGGGGGACGCGGCGAGCTACTACTCGCAGTGGAAGGACACGCGGCTGCGCGCCGAGCACTACATCAACGCGGAGGAGCAGGGACACATCGCCGGCGCCAACATGACCGGCTTCTGGATCCCCTGCAACATGGAGCCCAACTTCTGGGTCAAGCTCGGAGAGTCGCTGCAGATGGAGGTTTGTGTTCACTAGCTATCTCTTAAACACCTTGTTTTTATATTCTAAATAAGTTGGTATAGCAACCTGTTCACTCGAACCTTGAAAACACGCAGGTTTATACCCTTCAGGAAAAGGGATCTGTCAAAGAATTCCTCTCCTTAGCGGTTCTATTGATACCTAATGGCTCCGATATACAATACAAAGATACTGCATCTTTGTGTGATGATACTCATTCATAGTATACATAACCGAGCTGGACGATCACTTGATGGTTAGCAATCGGTGCTACCCATAATCGACGCCAGTATTGGGGATTTGGAGAATGAGGAATGGGATGAGCGATAGGGGGAGAAAGTGGGCCTCCGGTAAACTCAGTCTCACGACGAAACACAACGCGACCATTGCTTTTTATGAGACTATATCACTTCGATCGAGCCGGCCCATTCGTTTTAAAGCATAATTGTCTCATTTCAATTATAGGATAGATGAAGCCTGTACGCTTAATTACAGGTGGTTGGTGAAGCCGGAGCCTGTTTGCCCATCGTGGGCCTGTTCAAGGACTGCAGCGACGAGGAGTCGGTAAAGGAAGCAGATAAAATATTGGGCCCAGATGAGAAGAGGAAGTGCTTCATTAACAAGTCAGTCTACAAATTAATGTCAACTAATGTACAATATTACTTAACTCCCTCCATCATCGTCATCGCGGCTGGACCATGGTTCTCCTCTACGGAAGAGGGGTTTGCCATAATCTCCACGCCTGGCGAGCAGTTGGAGATCGCAGTTTAAAAGTATAGGGTTATCAGAGAACACTGCTAGACAGTCTCTCCGACACTCACGGGAGTTGTAGAAGTGGCGATAGGTGCGAAGTGAATTCTATCCTACCGTCACTAACGGCTTGATTGCACGGTTGGCTCGGTGGCTGGGCTACCGGCTGCTCCGTAACATGTAGCGGGATTCCTGCACGAAACATCTCTTTGTGTGATCTACATATAGTTGTTTCGGGTCTGGGTGTGGTGTGTATTTGAACTTGTGTTTATAAACGCAACCATGACAAAGAAAGTCCTAGTGTGGGCAAAGTTTATTTAAAAAAGAAGAAAATAGCTGCCTAATAAACATGCAAAGCAAAGCTTTATAAGTTGTGTTGCGTCGAAGCAGTTGTTTTAGTGAAATATGTTTGGTGGCGTGTTCCAGGAACGCGGAGTACTTCAACAGATACAAGCGCGGGTTGTTGTTCTACCTGCGGGATGAGACCGTGGTCGGGTTCACATTCTGGAACATGCCGCCCATTGAGGACCGCAAGGCCGTCGCCACAGAGGTAAGCCCCTATATCGTAGTCCATTTATCTTTCTTTTGTACTGCTGTAGAAACAAAATAAAAACTAAAACTATTCGTGAGTAACGACTTTATTCCGATAACAATTCCCAATTGGCTAAGACCATTAAATGAATGAAGATTGATGAAGAAACTCCATGTTTACTCTTTTTCAATGGCTTAATAAGGCAATGTTATATTTGTCGCAGTAACAAACAAATCAAGTATGTATTCCAAAAAAAGATTAACACATGTAAAGTCGTACAAAATACAGGCAATAAATAATTTAAATCTACGAAATAATTGGTGGGCAAAAAACCGCTGCAACTTTTGTTAGCCAGGATTTACAGTAAATAAAACTATGTAAACAATGAACCAATGAAGTCATAAACAATTGTCTTAGATCCCGCGACGAAATAATGATACCATTCACTAGATTTTTTTTCGTTTTAAGTTAATGAGTGTTTGCGATAGTTACTTCGCGCGAAGCCGACGTATCACGACATCAACTTGCTGGCGGAGCTGCTCGGCTTCCCCGGGACTCTCTGCGTCTACCCCACAGCTGCTGAGGAGGCTAAAAAAGCGGGCCCTTGTCTTACTAAGTAAGTACACACGCATTCAACACACACACACACACACACACACACACACACACACACACACGCGCACGTTTGTCACACTTTACACACGATATGTATCGCAATAGCTTTGTACTTAGCCTAGTGTCCATGATACGTCATTTGATGAAAGCATGCAACCTACTAATGGCCTTGGTACATTTGTATGAGGAGTGGGTGACACAACGTTGCCGCACCGTGGATATAGTTTTCATTATTTCGACGCATGATGCAAGTATTTGTCTTGTTATCATCAATTATTATTATTTATTTAGAAAATGTACATATATAACTCACTACAGCTTAGGTACGCCATTAAGTTATACTGTTAATTAATTGACGGAAACGTGCGATTGACGTGCGGTTTACGTGGATAGATAAAATAGGCCTTAAGGAACAAAGCAGTTGCATCTCATAGTACCTACCTATTGTATAAAAATATGACCTTAACAAATATAGATTTTTGAGATGTTAAATGATATCGTGCGTGTGACGTATAAACACATGTTTATATTAGAGTCGGTTAAAAACTTAGTCTGGACAGCATCTACTTAAGTATACTTAACCTAAGTAGGTACTCGAAGTTACTTCGCATGCACATTGTTTGACCTTTCCCGTGACGTAGCCAGTAAGACCAACATTTTAATCTTTCTTATTCACAGGGAGTGTAGCGAAAAATGTCCAAAAATAAAGCGACACCGATTTCCGTGACGGCGTACGATCGTCTTAAGAGACAAGTTGCTCTCGTTGCCGCTGTAGTATTATTGAGTAACGTTTCTAAACCAAAGGGCATTCAGGAATTAATACAAGGCACTTGTTGCTGACGTATTGCCTCCAATAATTTGAATCATTATACATCTGGTCGACCGCCAATTAGTGCCGTGCCCTGGCTGCGCATCGACTGATTATAAAAGTTATTAATTATTAAAACTGTGGCCCTACGTGGCAACAGTTAGCGATCAGTAAACTGAATGCACGAAACCCTAGCGGAAATGTTACTCAACAACTAGGTCGCGATGTTCGACACGTACACGGACACTTTATACGCCCTCAAAAAAAAGAGTAAATGTTTGGTACATACTGCCTACGTGGAATGTGATGTACTCAAACTTATCACATTTTTCGTGAGCCTCGTCTTAGTTTCGTTAACCAACGCCTTTTATTTCAGTGTCAAGACATGGTAAAAAAAATTCGAAAGAAGAATTAAAGTGTGAGTTTGATACAATTGTCTGCGTCATTTTTTTATTATCATTATACTGTGAATTGTAATCAATTGTTTCATTTAGTTGATGATTTTTGATGATACCACGGGAGGCCACTGAAGACAGCTGTATTTTTGGTGAATGAAGTCGGTCAGCCAAGTGCCACATTCGCCGCCGTTTTTACCATTGACCCCAAAACTGCCACTTAGGGGGACGTAGCACCTAAACTAACACCTTGCTTGTGTGTTACCTGTCTCTTAGGTTGGTGAAGAGAAATGACGTTAAATGTCCTCTATTTAACCTTAGGAGTTACTTTAAACTCATGGGAGGTTGATGAAAACGAGCTTAGAGTTTACATTTAAAAGTTCCTACTACATATATTGACAATTACCTATGGTAAAACGGGGTGAATAGAATTCGAGGCGTGAATATATATAGAGAAAATGTTCTAATATTTATTCACCCCATTCCTGTTTCTATTCACCCCGTTTCACGGTACCTACCATTAGCTGTGTGCTCGTTCTAGTGTTTTTATCTCGAATGCTTTTACATTACCTCACGACTGTCTCCCACGCGGGTAGGCACAGACTATGGAACGCCTTTTTCTACGATTCTTACATACCTCATGCTTTACATCCTAAAATATTCTACAAGTGTTGTAAATGTATTGTTTTCATATCTTACTTTGAAAAAAACGGAAGTGTTTAAAAGAATAAAATGGAACTAGTAGTTGAAAAATCATCAGTAGTCTGATCACGGACTACTTTCGTAGACTAACGACAGGCGCAGGACTAACGACTTTAGCCACGTATTTTTAGATGCACAGGTGTGAAACACCATCGAATCTCCCAAAATCCAGGTTTATATTCCTTACATAATAAGTAATTATTGTCCGTTATTGTTTTATTCTTCGAAACTTTTTTATTTTTGTTGGGCTGACGTTTGGCCACTATCTTGCCTGATGGTAAGCGATCATGCGGCCTACAATAAAGCACGTCGTCCTATAAGCAACCTATTCACTCGGGCCTTAAAGACACACCCAGGTTCCCTCCAGAAAACAGACTTATTTTATGGAATAGGAGGCAAACGAGCAGACGGATCACCTAATGGTGAGCGATCAGCACCGCCTATCGACACCCGCAACACCAGAGGAGTCACAGGTGCGTTGCCAGGCTTTTAAAATTGGAATACGCTCTTTTCTTGAACGTCGTATTGGCATTCCAGTTTTGCCGTGCAGGGCAGAAAGCTACCTACGTGAGAAGCGCACAGTTGTTTCCTGCCAACCATTTATATGATGGGGATGCATAATTATGCATATAGACTCAAGAATTCTACGCCTTAACAGTACGGACAAGGAAGCTTGATGCGAAGTGCTTCGTGCGTGTGGGTGGAACATCCATCATGAATCGGTAACGCTTCGCCGATTGTTTTTGTTCGATATTTTTCTCGTTTGTACCACCGATAGTATAAAACTCTGGAGTGTCAATATTCTTTTAGAAAAACCTACTGTAAATATCGCAATACCTGCTATCGATATTATTGGATGTTGAACTGTCGATGTATAACTAAAAATGCATTTATTTTTATCAATTATTATTTAATTACGAAACGATGAGGAAAATATTTTCTTTGATGCCTTATAATTTTTTTTTTTTTCATTATTATTATTTTTTCATTAGGTATTATTATTTTTTCATTATTATTATTTTTTAAGGTGTAAATATTTAAATCTAATTAAAGTACTAGAATTAAATTGTACAATTTTAAAAATTACGAAGCTATGTATATTTTTTACGTTCTTTTATCATTCTCTGTGGTTCCGACCTGTCTTCTTATTGTCATTGTCTTCTTCTGTCTATGACTGACCGCTTCGTTTGACGCCGTTCTGTCAACGTCAAGTGTCATTAATCACCACGCCACGCCACTCATTACATTACCTACTACATTCAATTCGATTATTATTATATAATTTGTTAATTTCCGTTCATTGATAGTCATAATCGAAGATATAATATTTTATTTAATATTGTTGTTTATCAATATATGTTACCTATATTTATATATTTTTGTCATAATATCGATCTTGTTGGTTGAGATTGAGATCTCGTCTTGTGTTGTTGTTGTCTGTGTTAGTAAATCGTTAATCGAATGAAGAAAACTGTATAGAAAATTGGAGATTGTAATACAAGTGGATCGTTGGAAAAGTATTTCTCGCTATCCGCGCAATAACCGTTGATTGTTGATTGTTTGTTCGTGTTAGGTTAGTATTTGTTAGTGGGTCGACACTTGTGTCCTATTTTTTGTTGCTAGATTGTTTTATTAAACCATCTGACAACATGTTCATGTTTTCATCGATGGATGGATAGCAAACGTAATTAGCAATTTGGTTTTATTCCTTTCGTCTTTGTGTAGGGTACGCACGCGGTTTTAATAGAACTTGTGTTCTACAATTGTTGTCAATTGTTGTGATATTTATATAGTATCATAAATTGAAACTTCTTACGGTTTGTTGAGTTATTGTGTGTGTAATTTTTAATAAATTGGCTGAATTTACTTAGTGGCTAGGTAGAAACAGTATCGGTCGAGTCTGTGTCTCACCAAGACTCAAATGGTTTCTTGGTAAATTGTGTGGTGGCTCAAAAATATATTACCTTGATTTTTTAATACAAGGTTACAAGAGTGAAAATTGTAAGATATTTTCCCAGTATGTGGAAGAAATTATTCAGAATATCATCCCCGCTGGGTGTGGGGTTGTGATTAAGGCTGGGAGAATGAACTATAAGGTGACTTCGCTTAAATGCACACAATGGAAACCTGACCAGACTGTGGTTTTTACTTATGTCGGTGATATTTGTCAAAAAAAATTGTTCTTATGCTTTAACTTGGCCCCGCCATTGGAACTATTTTCATACCCAACCATACACTGTTACAGATATTGTTGCTTTGGACATACTCTATGTCGATCAAAACTACATTGCTTTGAGTGTAGTCAGGATCATCCTGGCGGTCAATGTCAAGTTTCAGATGCAGTTGCTCATTGCATTAACTGCAGTGGCAACCACTGTGCCAATGATGGTCCTTGTCCTGTGTTGGGTCTCCAGAGGAACATTAAAGCTGTGATGGCGAAAAAGTTGATCTGCTATGTGGGAGCGAGCCAGATATTCTCTGTGGTAAAAAAATCATGTGCTGAGGTGTCTAAATTGACCAACTACATTCAGTCAATACCAACAACAAAAAAATTATCCCTACAAGAAGTGTCATATAAAAAAACTGTTTCCTTGAAATTCAAATCCCTTGCCCTTCTTTCTTGTAATTTTGACGATAAGGCCCATCAGGCCCTTGTCCACAATTACTTTTCCCCATCCAAGAATGGTTGCAATTTTCCAGTGGAATCTGGAAATAGCACTTGTAGCTCCAAAAACATTTTAAATTTAATTCCCAGTGTGCTCATGGCAGTATCATAAAATCCTCCCCAAACTGTACCTGACCATGTTGCACATAGATATTATATATTTACACCGTGTAGATATGCTACAATCCTTGATGTTAGAATTATAAAATTCTATCTTCTGACTCTTATTCAGTGGAACATGATGAGTGCTCTTACCGCGGCTTCTCCCAGATCTCTCTAATCTTCAGTGGCTTTTAACTATTTTTGTTTTTTACATTGTTCAACTGGACATTTAACATCAGTTGATAATAAAAAAAACTTAACTCATGTGGAGGATTTGTTGAGAATTTGATTGTCTGTCATTCTTCGCTTTGCGGAGGGGCAAATCACTTTTTTTTTTTTCGGCCATAGGGAGACTAACTATACAGACTAACTATACTATACAGAGAATATACATTCTCTTTGATCAGTCTCATGTGTAGAAGTAGAACTACTGGTTCTTGTCATATTCAAAATGGCTGTTTTGCCGGTTATGGTGGGTGTGTTCGTTAGCAGAAGGGTTGGCAAATAATATGCGTGTTCTTGGTTCGAGGTTTATTGAACGACTGACTATAGAGTATAATAATATGCGACTCACTGACTCCAGTGAACTTAAACAGTAACTTAACCTAATGTGCCTAAGACTAACTAAGACTATTGTGCCTACATGCTACAGTCCTCCCCCTTAGTTGAAACTAAAATTTTATTACTAACCCCAATGCAAACTTATAACTACTTCATCAACAGCCTATAAATGCCCACTGCTGAGCAAAGCCTCTTCTCACACGGAGAAGGTTAGAGCATTAATCACCACGCTTGCTCAATGCGGGTTGGCGATTTCAAACTTACAATTAGAAATTATAAGTCCAGGTTTCCTCACGATGTTTTCCTTCACCGTTTGTCAGTGGTGTCTAAATAATCTTAGAAAGTACATATAACTCGGAAAAAGTCACATTGGTATTTGCCGTTGGTAGGTTTCGAACCCGCACCCTCATGCATGAGAAGTGGGCGTCTTAAACCTCCGGGCCACCACGACTAGCTACAACAATACTACTTACTAGAACAATACTATACAGTAGAACTCCAATTATCCGAATTAATGGGGACCGGGACCCATACGGATAATCAAATATTCGGATAATCGGATTTTTTTTAAAAATATTGCCATTGGAGAGAATAAAAGCTACATTTTGATATTGCACTATTTTTTCATTGAATTAAATGAAAGAAACATGAAATTTTAACATGTTTTAAATACAGGGTGACCAGTAAGGGTAGCGGGTATTTGACAGTTAAATAAAATGAGAAATACAATTAATTAAATATATCCTTTATTTTTAGTTCAAAAACAGTTTTTTGGAAATTTATTTGGCGAATATACATTATCTAAATGTGTACCCCCACGCTGCTGGCACTCCTCTAACCTTGAACGCAGGTTGGCGACGACGCGTTGACAAAGCGAAGTTGGGATTGCCCTCATCTCTGACGTGATGTTCTCCTTCAATTGATTTAAATTCGTTGGGTGGTTATCGTATACCTTACCCTTAAGGTATCCCCATAAAAAATAGTCGAGAGGACTAAGATCTGGACTTCTGGGGGGCCAGTTAATGGTGCCCTTACGCGAGATAACTTTGTTTGGGAACAATTCGTTTACAGCCTCTATTGACGCCCCTGCGGTGTGGCATGTGGCTCCATCTTGCTGAAACCATGTTCTTGAATTAAACCCTGGGAAATCTTGTAATGGGGCGCCAAAAAATTCCTTAACATGTCACAATAACGGTCTGTATTCACCGTAATTGCTCGCCCACGTCTGTCATCATGAAAAAAGGGGCCGATTATGCCTCTACCAGAAAAGGTGGCCCAAACGATGACCTTTGGACTATGAAGTGGCCGTTGATGTTTTGTTTTAGGGTTTTCCTCGGACCAGTAGCGACAATTCTGTTTATTAACGTGACCGTTTAGGTGGAAATTGGCCTCGTCGCTAAACAGAATATTGTCAAAGCTGTTGAATCGCTCTAGCATTTCAGTAGCAAAATTTAACCGACTTTCATGATCAGAATCCTTCAGTCTTTCTTGTACTAACTGGATTTTGTAGGCTGTGAGATGCAAATCTTTCTTCAAAATAACCTGCAGTGATGATTTTTTGATGTTTAGTTCTTGTCCTCGTTTGCGAATTGATAGCGACGGATTTTCACGTACTGAAACTCTCACTTCTTCGATTGTTTCTTCATCTCTAACGCTTCGCGGGCGCCCTGAATTTTGAATTTTAACAGTCGACCCGGTATTCTCAAACATTTTTATCCACTTTCGTATGACATCGTCGCTTGGCGCTGTACGTGTGCGATATTCTCTGCGATATAAACGCTGAGCAGTAACAATGGAATCGTTATTTCGATAATACGCTCGCACGCAAAAAGCGCGATGCGTCCCGGGATACGGCTCCATGGCAACTAAAATAACACGAACCGACGCGCTCGATGTTGCCCTCCCCGCGCTCCTGCTACCTCACTTGACGCCGTGAACCAATAAACAAACTCCCGCTACCCTTACTGGACACCCTGTATAACTAAAATGTACTTATGTTCAAGTTTAGAAATAAAAATCATTGTTTTTTAAACATCTCCGTCAATGTAAGCTGTTTTGCGGTCTTCAACCGTTTTCGGGCAGCCAGGTCACGCATTCGCTTGACGGTGAGCAGTTGCAAGTGGTGACACTCGGGCTGACGCTCCATCCACTTCAAAGCAGAAGGCCTCGAGGCCGGCAAATGCTTCAGTAGCTAATGGTCCAGCGTCTACTTCGACATCAACAGAAAGTTCTTCTTCCACTTCCACTTCAACGTCTTCTCTCACACTATTTCATCGTCATTGAGAATTTGAAAACCAGGATCAGACGTGTCACAAGCCATCCACTCTCCTACATCTTCAGCACTGACTTCTGTACAACCAGGAATTTTTACAATCATTTTTCTTATTTCCTCTAGTGACAACGCATCTTCATCATCATCATCCTCTCCTTATTCTTGTTTCTCATTTTCTTCAGATTCTTTTTTTTTTTTGTTCTTCTCAGACGGTATGCCTTTCAGTTTATTCCACGCACGTCTTAGCGTCACTGCCGTAACCAAACTCCAAGCTTCCGCTACCATGTAACAGCAGTCCTTTAAATTTATTTTGCTATGATTTGCCAAAACCGTCGTTTTAAACTGCCCATTCTCTTTCCAACAATTCTGCTGTAGGATGGGTGGGTGCGTTATCAACAATTAAAAGCACCTTACTGCCTTCTTTTCCCACCGATTTTTTGTGCTTTTTCACTTCAGGAATAAACACTTCATCATACCATTCGGTAAACAAAGCTGCAGTCATCCAGGCCTTGGGTTGACTTTTGTAGAAGAGGGGAAGTTTTTTTACGTTCTTAAATGCTCTTGGATTCCTTGATTTTCTTATCAAAAGAAGTGGCTGTTTATGATTTCCAGTGGAGTTGTCACAGTTAAGCACTGTAACACGTTTTTTACTGACCTTATGTCTAGGGGCACTAGATTCCCTTTTAGAAGCCAAAGTGGTTTTTGGTAATGCTTTCCAAACAAGGCCAGTTTCATCGGCATTATAAACAAACTCCGGATCATAGGATTCTGATGCAGTTCTGCGACATCTTACCCTGGCTTCATCCCGCAACCTAAACATCCGCCTAATATTCTCGGTGATCCATAGTGTAAGCTGCCTATGATAGGTTCTTTTCTTAATGGGGGCATGTAGATCATATAGCTGGATCATATGTAGGCTGAAGTTATGCACCATTGCATCCACATCACCCAAATCCTTTATATCGGACCAAGGAACCATACTCAGGTCACTTTGAAAGAAATTCGGCAATATGTCCGAAAGGGAGCGAAAACTGACCATCCTGGGCCTAACTTTTGGCTTTGCAAAAACAGTTTCGCACGTAATGAAGGGGTGATGGCCAAGCTCACTAATGTGTTTCACCTTAACGCCGCGAGTTACAGCGTCAGTACACACGATGTCAATGAGTGAGCTGCCATCACCCACGAAGTGTGTGGCTGTGTCAACCAACTGAACAACACCCATGTATTCAAAAAATTCTATAAGCTGTTTGTATTTTAAGGTATTTGTATCCAGCAGATTAACATTCAGATTCCCTCCTCAAGTCCTCCACGACCCGGTCCAGGTTATAAGAGCCCGAGGAGACTGTAGTGGCGGTGGCTCGCTGCTCCAATTAACTCCAATACGTCCAACCTGGCCTCCAGACCATCTACGCGAGCGCTACATACACCCAATGCGGCCCCAAGTCGCGACATCTCCACCTCCATCTCCTTTCTAAAGCCCTTAATTTTCTTCTCGCACTTCCCTAAGCTCCACAACAATCATTTGCAAGTTCGTCTCCGCTGCAACAGACAAACCAGAAGAGGAGCAGCTCCTCAGCTCCTGCCCGAGGACTCGGCTCACCAGAGTCTGCCATGGCAGTCATTTTGTTGGTGTAGGCAGAGGGGCTCTGCGCGGAACCCCTGACTGGGGTTTCAGTCCGGTTTTGAAATGTAATCCTTTCTTTTTAAATCCTTCAATATCACGGCTACGGTGGTAATTCGTTTTTTAAGTCTTTTATTTTGTTGAGCTAGTACTTTATTTTTTTTCTGTAACAGTTTATGCTTAAAGGATAATTCACGTATACGTTTTTTAAGTGCCGCTTTTCTGGGTGTTTCAAAAATATCTTCCTTAACCGGTATGCTGACATTATCGACTTGTCGGGGAATTCTGAATATTTTCGAGTTCCTAGAAAAAAAAACTTAGTTAAATACATGTGACGTTATATAAAGGGAAACTAGTTGCGAATATAGTTTATACCGATAGTTATAATCATAAGTCCCTTTACAGCGTTATTCAGTTTTACTCTTCTCTCTAATGTTTTTCTAGGTATATTGTAAGTAATAGAAGCCCTATATACTGACATGTTCCCTCTTTGTACGCTTTCCATTGCACTTCTAAGATCTTCTTCACTCCACGTACCGCGAACGGCTACTGACTTCCGCACGTAATAATTGGGCATCTGAAAATAATAATAAAAATAATTTGTGGCCATCACCCCCTGAAAAAATAAGGCCATCTGTCCCATACCACTCGGTAGAGATGGCCACATCAATTATAAATACAAAGGTAGCAGTGTTTAAAATTATTTCTTGGTTAGAATACGCTACAACTAATTAATATCCAAGAAAAAACAGAAATACAACTTTATTCCAAAATATTTTTCTGTGATCACTTAATACATGCACACCTTATCTTATATCAACCATATGCTAAACAAATAAACTGTATTTTACTTACTTTTAAATATTTTTTCGCCAAACTTTCGTGTGCCTACTTGTTCCCAGTCTCATTGAACGACCAACTAAATATTTACTTACGCCATCTGTCCGCTATACCCCGAACTTTTTTTGACAGGCAATCTCTCCCATACGGCCAACTCCCCCGGAATTACCCTAATATTATTCGCATCTGTATTTTTTACTCTTTGTCCGGAGCGCACGCGTCCTTGTCGCGCTCACGACAAAAAATATATTCGCCATTTCTTTCTTTCTTCTAACCTCTAATTATTAGAGTAATTGGAAAATAATTGAAATATATTATAAAATCGAAGTATATTGCAAACTTACTTGTGGTATGAGATCCCCTGTGTTTTAATTACTTTGGGATCATAGTTGGTACACTTTCTAAACACACACGAAGGCATTTTTTAGTTAATATCGTAGCAGCGCGCAGCGTATGACTAGACGCGATGCGTGTTGCAGACTAAGGGGCGAAGATCCCAACTAGGATCTTGTCGAGTCTTCACGAGTGCGCGCTTATAACATATCTGTTTAATATATTATCATTGATCCAACATATAGAATTTATTATGTCGAGATAAGTCTTTGAATGGGCCCTCGTACGGGGGTACTAAGGCTCGCCTTGCTTCGTTTCTAATAAATACATGAGAGCAAGCTGATGATAAATCTTTGTGAATAAATACGTTGTTGTCCGTGTTGCTATGTGAGCTTGAAAGGCTAAGGTTTGGGACAGATGACAAAGATTGGGTTAATTGTTTTATAAATTCGCGGTCGTTAATATTAGATATAGGTCTAGATTAGAATACATCGCCTGGAAGTCTGATACTACTACCATACAGAAATTGCGATGGGCTATATCCTAAGTCGTCTATTTTAATAGCTGTACGTAAACCTAAGAGTATTATAGGCAATTCGTGTAACCATGATTTGTTAACTAAGCATTTTGCCATGATAGCAGCTTTTAATGTACGATGTAGTCGTTCGACCATGCCGTTTGCCTTTGGGTTGTACGCTGTCGTACGGATGCGTTCGATACCTAGTATTTTTCATAATTGTCGAAACAAATCCGATTCAAATTGGCGACCTTGATCTGAAGTTATTTTTACTGGGCAACCGAAACGAGCGATCCAATGTTCAAAAAACACCCTAGCCACTGATTCAGCTGATATCTATTGTTTCATAATAATAGCGGTATACAGGCGGTATAAATGGAAGTTGATCCTTTATAGGGTAAACCGTATAGCTATTGCCCACTTAACGACTTCAAACAGGTTAACTTAAAAAAAAAAAACCGTATTAGAGCTGGCAAATTTTTATTACAATTTTCTTATAAACTACAAAAGTCTGTAACAGATAATCGAAATTATTTAGTTAAAAAGTTAACATATCTTAGAAATAATATGAAGAAAAAAAAATTATCAAAAAATACAGTCATTGCCCACGCAATATAGTAATTACCATCATAAGAGCACAGTAATTGCCCATGATCTCAAAATGCTAGATTAAGGCCTAAATTGACTTTAAACATAAATAATTATTCGAAACAAAAAAAAATTAAACTTAATTTTATAAAAAAACACAGTTTAAAGAAACAAAACTATAAATTTTTAACAAAACTCTTAACTTTCTTAGGTTATCAGTCTCAAAATAGATTACGCTTAGCTTTATTAATCACACCAAATAATTCTCTTGCTGACAATGATGAGTCAGAATCACCTGAGTCAGAATCTTTTACAATAAAACAACGATGGCACAAAAATAACCTTAAGTCGGCGTCGTCGGGGATATGTTCTTTATGTTTTTGAGGAATACAACGCATGTGATAGGTTTTTGAACAAGCACTGCAGGTCAACGGATTTTTCATTATGCTGAAATGACAAACTACACAAATAGTAGGCTTGATTATAATGTCGCTTAAAATAGTTATCTTTCCACCTGTTGCTACCTGTTTATTTTCCTTATGGCTTATATTTAATTCTTTCGTCTTTGGTGTACATTGGAGATGGTGCTTAAAAGTTTCAGTCTCGTTGTCGTTATTTCCCTTGATTGTATCAATTTCCTCTGAATCAACTTCACTATTGATATTTACTGCAGAATTTTCATTGTTAGGTTTCTTGGTTATTTTTATGGTGTTCTTACTTTTTTCAGCTTTTTTCTTGTCTCTAATCAACTTCTTTTCTTCCTTGATTTTTAATAAATTTTGCTTTTCTACTACTTTTACATGTAAAGCTTCTTTAAAATTTTGAGAACTTATAGCGTATGGTTGTCTTTCTGTTTGTCTTTTTCCTTTCCTTATGGGCGTTTCCGGGTAAGCTAGATACTCTCCCAGTGAATATTTTCTTTTTATAATTTTAGGACTTGGTAACTGAGGCGTAGAGTTTGCCGCCGCTACTGCAAATGAAGTACTTGCTCGTGGCTCTTCAGAAGATATTTCTGGGGTATATTGTTTTTGTAGAGTTGTCGAAGCTGTTGTAGGTTTATATTTGGTATACTCAGGCACTGAGGAGAAAAGATCACACGTTGAAAGACTTTCTATTCCCTCAGATGTTTCTTCTGTAAGTGAGTGTAAATCGACAATGTTTTCAATTGAATCTTCATTGTTTTCTTGTGTGATAACTGAGCAATCTACTACTTCGTTAGTATTAGATTCAATTTCAGCATGCTTAAATGATTCCCATAACTTAAATAACATATCCAAGTGTTCAGTAACTTTTTGATGCGGCAGTTTGTGACGTCTATTTTCGAAATCCTTAACAATAGATGGTCCAACGATCTTTGAAAAAGTAGAATAGGTTATCGTTGCTAAATCTGGAATAGGTTTTGTATTTTGTACAGACAACTTATTGCTTGCAGCACCAAGGCATTTTCCATAGTCAATGGCATCCGGATTAAATGGACATAGACCACACGCTTTAAAGCCATTAACTAATATTTCAGGTCTTAGACTCGTCATAACGGCATCATTAAGTACAGGTGCAAAATTTAATTTTGTGAGACTTTGATTATTGTGTTCATTTTGCCATTTCCTTAAAGATTTTCTCCATCCTACTTTGAGAGGTCTAAAAGCAGCTACATCGGCTGGCTGAAGGATTCTTGTTGCGTTTGGGTAGAGTGCAATTAATTCGATCTGAAGATGAGTACAAAGCTGGCTTAAATGGAAATTTAAATGAGTCTTATGACCGTCTACATAGAGAATGACTGGGAATTCGACGTTTTTGCTGACGAGATATGGATAAAATACATTAGCAATGTATTCATAGAAAACTTCCGTTGTCATCCATCCTGTGTCAGACTTGCCAAGCCCCCATCCATCAGGTACAGAATCAGCAATTTTTTCAGGTAACCTTTGATAAGGATAAACAATGAATGGACAACAGATATCCCCTGCAGCCGAAAAAGTGAACAAAACTGTAATAGACTCTTTAGCTTGAGATTGTTCAACATTATAGACATTTTTTGAACCTTTTTCTGCTAATACTTGACCAGTTTTAACGCAAATTTGAAAATTTGTCTCATCTGCATTAAATACTCGATGTGGGTCATTTAAAACAGAAGCCAAGTCTTTTTCAGTAGCATAATTTTGGATTTCAGTAAACCACCCTCTTATATCTTTTTCCGAAACACATGCACTGGCCTTTGTCACACCTTCTGAAGTTCTGGTTGCCAATCTAGGATGTCGTTTTAAAAAGGCCTTCCACCAACCGTCACCTGGCCTATTATTCAAAAATGAGTTTGGACGCGGGTTTTCTATTAGAAACTTTTGGACGGTATCCAATATGTCCTCTTTGTTACGCGGAAATCCCTTTCTTGCTGAAATGATTATCCAGTCTTCTAAACTATTTTCTTCTGAAATAGTTAGTACAGGTGATGGCCCTAAGCTGGTTTTGTGGCCCGGATGTTTAATATAGTACCGAAGACTGGACCTCGGAACGCCGTATTTTTCGGCGATTTGCCTCGTAGATAGCTTATTGTTAACATCTTGAACTGTATCAATTGCTTTTTGTAAATTTTCTTTACTATACTGAACTTTGGGTGTCTTTGGCATTCTGAAAGTAATGAAATATAATTAGCACCTGTTTATGTAAAGAAATTGCGAAATGTAACACTATTCATGTCATATTGGCAATACTACTTAACTCAAAATATAAGTATGACATTAATTGCCCGGGCAATAACTATAAATATTAACCTATGGCAATTACTAAAAAAATGATGGGCAATAACTGAAAACAATAAAAAATCGATACAGTGATTGCCCACCTCTAAAATAACCGTTAGAATTTAATATTCAAATTAGATTTACATTCAATACTAAAGTTAATCACAATTTTATCGTAATTATGTAAGAACAGTCGAATAGGTACCATTCAAATGTCCTAAAAAATGTTTTTTAGCAAGTAATTCCTTAAGAAAATTGATAAAATGCTTACCTGATTGAGTAACACGTTCACTTGTTTTTACAAATCCGCCATTACTGACTTTTTTTCTTCCAGTGTTGCAATAGTTTGATTTAAAATCTACCATAAATTAATAACAGTGCCCTCTAGTGAATACTTCTCAAAATAAAAAGTCAATAATTGTCTTTTTATTTTAAAAAATCTAAAAATGGGCAATAACTGTCGGTGGGCAATAACACTCCTGTTTACCCTATTATCTTTTTTATTTTCGGACGAACCCGTCCCATTTTTTCTTCCGATGCGTTGAATGTCAAAATTCTCGCCAGCAACGTTTTTTTCAATATGTCGACCTTTTTGAAAGGAGTATATTCATCATAGTTCTCTTTGTATAGATAAGACCCATATTCTTCTACACGTATCCATTTTTTATAGACTCATAATATGGCAACGTTGTGCATCCCTACATCTTGTTGCTCCGATTTCGGGGTTGCAATATACTCTTCGCGATTCATCGGATTAGGTAGGCGTTTAAATTTTGTTTTAGCTACTGCCTTTCCTGATCTCATCTGTCAACCACGTTGCTGGTACATGCTTAATTTTCACTGGTCGTATCGGGGCATGAATATCATATAACTCGATAAGGTTTTTGTTAAAAATATTTATTTTGTCATCAATTGTCTAGGCGGCAAGGAGCTCAGACCAGTCGATGCTGCCGTCGTCCCTACGAAGCTTGTCATGGTCCATGCTACCAAAATTGCGCTGAAAGTGTGTTTTAGGTTTAGATTTAGAAGGACAGATTTTGTACGAGAAGATAAGATCATGTTAGGAAAAATTGTCTACAGAACATTGTCGGTGCTTGACAACGTGTTTGTCAGACGAGACAAGGATAAGATCAAGAAGAGAAGGTGAACAGTTAGGAAAGTGGTGAGTGACACTCAAGGGAAGTAGAGACAAGTTGAAGGAATGAGCAATGGATTGAAGTGAAGAGGAGCGGGAATCTTGTTTTAGGAGACAGGTGTAAAAGTCACCCATAATTAAGCTGTGACTGTAAGGGGGTTAATTTCAATAGTAAATTTTCGAAAGAGGAGACGTAATCAACACGTAAGGAACGGCAGTAGTAGACACCATGCAATAATCTGGCGTGGCGCAGAGTCAGCTCTAAGAAAAGATGGTCACCAGCGTTCTGCGGCTGTAGTGACACATCAATTTATTTTAAGGGACATGTTTGCTCGAAGGTAGGGAGAGCAGGTAGGATTCGTACATTTTTTACTTTACGCCATATTAAAACTAAACTATATAATATATTCGAATAAGTTTTATGTCCCTATATAGCCTATATATCTGCCTATAATTATGGTATGGTACAGCTCCGTCACAAATCACACAGACAGAATTATGATCAGTTTTTCAAAAAATGGAAATCGTACGAAAGTACCCCACACACGGGGTACCTTCGTGCATAGTGTGGGGTACTTTCGTACACGATGGGGTACCTTCATACAGTCAAAGAAAATAAACAATTATTGATTAAATTTAATCATTTATTGAGATCAATTTAACACAGAATCAGCATTTTTGTATTTAGAACCAAGATATATTGTTTAGGTATTCATAGGTATCATATAATATGCATTTGCTATTCATAATTTTTAATTGTATAAAATCAAGTAGTCTTATTAAATTAATACTGTAGTTAAAGTTACTCTTACAATGTGTAGACACTAAAAAAACGTAAGAAATAGAACTCAAACTTCTACTGGTATTATTACTTAAAGCAATTAGAGTCACAGTCTTTAAAAATCTTATTAAATACGATTCTTACAAAAACAAAAATAAAATCAAAATGTATTAACAAACAAAAACTTCTTATAAAATTTTACCATAGTCAATAATTATTAGAAAATTTACCATCACATCAACTAATAACAATCTCAAATTATAATTGAGGTATTCACTTGTTACTAGAGGATGCGATCCCGGTCGATTTTTCTAGTCCCGGGATTTTATTGGTAAAGAAAATGGTAGCAATTAAAAAGAAGTAAACATATCAAAATCAACCTTTTATTTTAAATCTTTACTTAAATCTTCAAAAACAAAACAAAATTATTATTTCTTCTAATAAAATTAACAAACTAGGCCCTTATAAAAATTATTGCCTAGTTTGTTTATTTTATATTTTACAATAAACTTAAAAAATCAACTTCTAATATTTGTCAAAAGAGATCAAAGTTAATAGGACTACTAATATTTTAAATAAAATAGACCAAGAACTATAATTTACTTATTTAAGCCACGAAAATAAAATCTAAGAAATAACAACGCATCCAACGTCTCATCCGAAAGCATGCTTCTTAATTTGTTGCACAAATATGAAGCAGCGGAAAACGCGCGTTCAGGCTCGATGGAAGTTGGAGAAATCGTCAATAAATTTTTATAAGCCTTCTCCAAATTATGACCTCGTGTGGAACTAGCCTCAAAAAGATTCATTTCTTGTTTAATGATCTTAGAAAGATCAGTTTCTTTAAATGCTTCAGGATTTATTATTTTTATACTGTTTTCTATTTCGTTCTGAAGCTTTTCTTTTAATGTTAAATCAGTCTTACTAGTTGTCTGCGTGGGTTCAATGTTCATGTCATTTTCTTCATTATCACTATTTTCAATTTTTCCAGCTAACAAAATAATCTGTTTTTTTATAGTCATCTTGCTTGGACTTGAAAATAACTCCTTTAAATCACAATCAGTCTCTAACTCAGTCTTCTCAGTATGAGGATTTTGTAAATACTTTAATACTCCACTTAACTCACTGCGTCGACGATCTTTCAAGCAGTTCAATAAATGTGTCTTCAATTTAGAAGCCAAAATTGAGTCATTGTCACGCAATTCTTGAAAAAGAAACTTGAGTGTAGCATCCGCTGTGCACAAATGGCATCAGAACGACAAAGTGCTTCTACAGATAATTTAACGGGCGCCAATACCTTGATTATCTCACTAATGAGTTGGAAATCTGACTCTTCAAATGGTACAGGATTATTAAGATCAATAAGTGCCTTTTTTACGCTAGTTTTTAAAAGATCAAATCGCTCCAGCATTGTAAAGAGACTGTTCCAACGCGTTTTACAGTCCAGTAGTAAATTAAGCTGAGCTTAATTTAGTCTAAGTCTAAGTTTTGACGAATAGACGTAGACGTCCATTCGTCAAAACTTAGACTTAATCGTTGTCCTTCTTTTTTCAATGTAGATAGTTCAGCTGTTATTTGTTTTTTTATCTTTACACTATAATCTAGTACTCTGTTGCGGATTGTTGAAGCAGATTTAGGTAAGTCTGAGTACCCTTTTGTTAACAGTAACGATCTTAAATCTTTTGATGTCACAAATACGCTAAAAGGAAAACCATCTAGCGCAGTCATACGGGCCAAAACATCGTCAAGAGTATCAGATTCAGGTTTAACAAAATAGTCGGTCATTTTTCTTTTCGAAGGTGGTCCTTCATTATTTTGACTTGTTGAGGAAGATGCCTTAGCAGAATCTATTTTTATGGAATGTTTTGAAAATAGATGAGTATGTAGGCCTTTGGTTGATCCTCCTAAGGTTTTTAAAATAGCTGAACAACGCTTACATTTTGCCGAGCTACCCATTTTGTCGACTAAAAAATGACTCCACACTGACGTAACGTCTTCATCTTTTTTATGTTTGACATAAACACTTTCCTTAGAAAGTGACATTGTTTACTTCTTAAACCTAAAACAATAAGAAAAGAACATTTGAATATGTGTACAAAATAAACATAACCTCTTAGATCAACAGAAAAAACATTCGCTGTTTTTCATATATATTTAGCCATACACATAAGTGCATTGTTGTTTTTGAAATAAATTAATGGTTTATCACTAATCAACAATATAAATATCAATACTTACACGATCTGAAGCGTAATTTTTACACTATTTTACACACATAGGTAGGTAAAGTACCTAATCCAACAACGTTTGTTAGCAGAAACAAATGAAATCAGCTGTGTAAACAATATGGCTGGCAAATTTTGACGTTTAAAGTCAAATGAAAGTAAGCGCGTTTCGTTTCACGCACATTTTTAATGAATTATTTAAAAAATGTTTAAGTCCCGAAAATCCCGGGATTCATTGGATTTAATCCCGAGATTTTCGGGACTAAAATATGATCGGGATTCCGGGATCCCGGTTTTTGGGATCCCGGGATCGAATCCTCTACTTGTTACCCTTCATTAAATATAGATAGATCTTTTGGAAAGCTAAATATGTCAGCTGTTCTTGCCGTCAGAGCAGACTTTGGCGGAGGCAATATACATACCACATCTGATATGTAAACTGTTCCTTCGTCCTTCGTTGTGGGAAAAACAAATCTCCAAGCATTAGGCTTCTTTCTCAAAAAAGAAACTTTGTATTCAGAGGAACTATAATTCTGGAGAACCTGTCCAACATAATACATCACAGACTTTTTTTTCTCGAACTTAACAAGCACAAAGCTTTTTTCTTCTATGTTTTCTGCTAAAACTGGGGTTTCATTTTCGGCATCAATTTCTTCCGCAGGAGAAGCAGAACTTTCTCTTAAACTCACTTCATCTTCACAATCAGTCTCATCTTCAGAGTCAGTTTCATCTTCACTATCAGTCTTTATAGTTTTCTTTTGCTTCTTTAAATTAAATGACTCTTTCGATTGAGATTTCCTCTTTATTGAAGATGCGTTATCTGCATCTAGGACAAGATGTAGAGCTTTTTTGATGGCCTTAGCCTTTTGTTTTTTCTCTTGCACTTGCTTCTTCAATAGTCTTCCTTTATCTATTTCTTCCAATCTATCTTTTTCCGGAGTATCAGTGTAAATTCTAGATTTGCCTGGTAGTTTACCTTTCCTTGTTTTCTTTATTGAATCTCTGTCCACTCTAGGATATGGCCTGACTAACTCTGGGGTGATCAACCCCACAGCTGGTAAGCAATCTGTTACTGTTGTAGGTGATAGCAAAGATGGAGACACAGATGATGAACAACTTGGAAGGTTTTGTTGAATAAGCTCTGTCTGTATGAGGTCTGCTGGTATGGTCTCTGGCACATCGTAATCTTGAACGGCTACAGAACTTGATTGCTCATCTTGCGTGGATTGTAACGCTTGTGGTAGTGAAGAAGTTGAAGCTTGTGGGTTCGTTTGAGCATCTTGGGTTGAACTAGAATAGTATACATTCACAGGTGCAAAATCGTCGTCGCCAAAAGCTAACTTATTAAAAGGCCATATTTCGGCCTTCTCAAAGGCATGAGTGATATTTTTACCAGTAAAGGATTCAAAATATGCTATCTTAGCCAGTCGTGGTATATTATATATATTGAGGGTTTTGCCTGGGTTATTCACGTGCCAATCGTTAAAAGCTATCTTGAGTTTGGCCTTAAAAGGTCCAAATACACCGATGTCTAAAGGCTGGAGACGATGTGTCGTGTAGGGTGGAAAGGATAGATAAACAATCCCATTATCACGAGCATAGTTTACAGCTTCAATAGTCACATGGCTCTCATGGTTGTCGACAAGCAACAAAATGGGATTATCTTTAGAGCACGACGATCTCTTTTGAATGTGTTTCAGTACCTCTATAAATATAGCAGAAGTAATCCACCCACTTTTTGTTGCAACTCCCAGGCTTCCTTCTGTCATAAAGTGGTCCTTGAAGTGAACCCTCGGGTAGATAAATAGTGGCGGAATTGTATTACCACTTACTGAAATTATTCCTCCAAATGTAACTAGTTCTCCCCTCTCTGCTGACACAAGTTGGCCTATTTGTTTCTGATTCTTTTCAGCTAAAACTTTAGGTGTGCTCAGCACTGTGGAAATTCCGGACTCGTCAAAATTAAAAATACGATCTGCAGTAAATTTGTACTTTGTTAGAACCTTTTCAATGTTATTATAGAAATCAGTTACAGCAGTCTTGTTAAAAGCAAATGTTCTTGCGGCGCTGGTATTTTCAGGCTTTCTAAGACTCAGGTTTCCGTTTCGCCTGCGGAAACTATCCATCCATTCTTTACCAGCCATTTTATTATGATGCCAACTCGGATGACAATTAAGCTGATTGGCTTTTGCAAACTCATATGCCAATTTTCTGACCTGGATGATCGTCAGACCGTAGTGCATTTTGGAGCATTCAATAATGTAATTGTTTAACACGTTCGCGGACATTTTGCTTGATTTTGTAACCCTATCTTGACACACGATTTTTGTATGAAAGGCTTTAGCCGTACTGTCGCCGACAAAAAAGACAACGTATTTAAATAAGACAGCACCGGCTACAGCCTTCGCCTGCTCTAAACGTTACGTCACAGGTATGTAGTCTTTGACTATACAATAGGACGCGCCGGCTATAGCCTTCGCCTGCTCTAAACGTTACGTCACAGGTATGTAGTCTTTGACTATACAAATAGGACGCGCCGGCTACAGCCTTCGCCTGCTCTAAACGTTACGTCACAGGTATGTAGTCTTTGACTATACAAATAGGACGCGCCAGCTATAGCCTTCAAAGGCGTCAGTTGTTACGTCTGTAGTAAACGGTTATTTTACTCAAATACAGCATACTGCGACTATAGCCTTTAATAATATCCCCTTCTTCAAAATAATGATGATAAAAAAACACCAGTAGATAATAAAAACACAAGGTTTTTTTTATTTTAATGTAGGAAAAATTAGTTATTTCAACATAAAAATTACCCTTTTAATTACAACATAAACTTTCCTTAATTTTAATCATTCTAAACGACATTGCAATTAATCTTTAATATAATTTTAATCTACTTAGGGTAATTTTAATCACAGCAAAAACATCACGTCTTTAGATATTTTCGTATGTTTAAACTTAGAATAAAATGGCACTTTTAATCACAGCACAAAGTTTCTAATTAATACAAAAATTATAAAAAAAGCAATTAAGTATGTACTTAGGAAATACTATGTCATTCGATATTTTCTGCTTGGGAATGCCATTGCTCGAAACATCCAGGACACAACGGTGGTTTACGGAGGCATCCCTTGCACCGATAGCTTGTTTCTTTTTTAATTTTATTCTTAGTGCAAAGACGGCACTTCAAAAAAACTTTATTTCTTTTGTAGTTTTCTGGTATGGGTATTAATTCAGGCCAATGAATGTTTGATACCGTAGACGTTCCTTCTGGAAGATTTTTTTTGGTTACTAAGCAGCGACTTCTTGGGCTTTTTTTTAGAAGAAATAATTTCAGCACAGCTCAAATTTCCAAACCCAAGATACTGTCTTAAAATTTGTTCTCTGAACTCCAACATTGTTTCTTTCTGGTTGCAATGTTTACGGTTACGGTTAGAAACTCAAATATAGCATTTTGAATACTAGCTTTTTTATTGATGAAATTACCACTAATGTTTAATAATTAATTATTTGATCAAAGAATCTTGTAAATTAATAAGAGCACAAGCTGTAGTGATACAAAGATCCAACATACCAATAAGATTAGAGTTGACGACTGAATGCATCTTCAGCATACCAAACTCTCTAACTCTTCGGATCACCCGTTCTACATGAATACGAAGACTGGCTATTTGTTTTGTTAACCGAGCTTCTGCTTTAGATAATTTACAACCACTGCTAACACTAAGAGGCCTCATCAAAGTAAACCCTTTCAATGACAAGTAATGTGCAATATTTTTGAACCCTCTATCAGCTAAAATGCAAGCATTAGGTGGCAAGCTATCTAAGAACTTGCTATTCTCAACTAAGTTAACATCGCTTATCCTTCCTGCATATCCTTTTGATACAAAACTTACCACACCGTCTGGGGTACAAGCTGTAATACATAACTTCACGCCTGTCTCCCATGGGGGTAGGCAGAGACTAAAGAACGCCAATTACTACGATTCTTACATACCTCTTTCGCTTCATTAACAGTCATCAATCTTTTCATGCATGCTCGTCGGTTAAGGGTACTTTTAATTTGGCCCTTCTTTAATATATCGCCAATCTGGTCACTATATGTCCGTCTAGGGCGCCCTCTACCGACGGCTCCATTCATATCCGCTCTGTATACTTCTTTCGTTACTCTACTTTCATCCATCCTTTCTACATGTCCAAACCAGCGTAACTGTATTTGTTTTTTTATACTCAGACTAGCACTAACCTGTAGTGCTTGATACATAGCCTTTTTCGGTTTTTGGATTTCAATTTCCAAGCAATCTATTATGCAAGTGACTTTATTAAATTTATGTCTAAAAGCAATGGGAAGATTTTGCTTAATACTTTTTGTTGGAAATTGTTGAATGAAATTGTTGAATGGTGAGAGCACCTCTACAATTCTTGGCATCTTGTTAAAAAATAAACTGCTTGCTTGAGTCACAGATAGATCAAAATCGTCAGCCAATTGAGAAAATGTTCTGTTTAATTTTATTCTCATTAAACATAATATAATATTTTGTTTAGAAATATTGGTATGTTTTTTAATCAAATCTATTAAAAAATACAGGTCCTTTGGTACTCCAATATAAGATCGTGGCTTATTTTTCACTTTAGCTAAAGTAGCTACCAGGTTAATTTTTTGTTTTATAAATTCTTCTTGAGAAGTACTCCCATCAGAAGTAGTCTTCGATTGACTACTTATTTTGTATGGAGAAGACTCATAATCAACTGTAGAACCTTCTGTTGCTGGTGTAAAAGAGTCATCACTCTCTTCTTCAAAAAAGTTCAGTTTTCTTT